GACTAGTGTCTCCTCACCCCCCTGTTGAAGCGCTGAGCCCAGTGCCACTGTGTCTGGAGGTGGGCCTGTGAGGAGCGAGGTGATGAGGGTGGGGCCCTGGCCTCGTATGATCAGTGCCCTCTGGGGAAGGGACACCAGGGGCGCTCCCTCCCTCCCTCCCGCTCCTGTCCCCCACCTCGTGGGGACAGTGAGAAGGAGACCGTCTGAAGCCCGGAAGACAGCCCTCACCCTGGACCAAATGGCCGGCGGCCGGGTCTCCGACCCCCAGCCTCCAGGTCTGCGAGAGACAGATGTCTGCTGTCGGAGCCGCCCCTCCGGCTGCCTGAGTGGCTGTCATGCCACCTGAAAGGGACTCGTGACCTGTGCATGCTTCCTAATAAAAGCAAATGACACATACGCCACATGACTCTTGTCCGGCCTGTTCCCAGGACCCTTCAGAGAACCTTTTCCAGGCAGGCTCCTTTGAGAAGCTGGCAGCAGAGCTGAGGTGTAGAGGCAGGCGGGCCCCACCCACTGGGAGGTGCGCCCTGGGCTCCTGCCCAGGGGAGGGCTGGGTTGCAGGGAAATGGCCCCACACGGTCATCTGGGACGGCTGCAGGGACCTCAGTGCACAAGTGGGCTCCATCGGCCGGACTCAGGGCCGGGCAGCGGAGGGAGCTGGGCTCTTGTGGGTAAGGAAAGGCCCTTACACGTCCCCCCCACCTCCTGCCCAGTGAGGGTCTGGCTAGTGGGCTCTGCCTGCTGAAGTCGGGGGGAGGAAGGCACACTGGACCCGGAGTCCAGGGCCTTATTTCACGTCTGAGTTCGGCTACTTGCTCGTTGGGGACCAACTATCGGGGAAACGAGATCCCTCCTGGGCAGGATGGAGGCTGATGCCTGGCCAGTGTCACTGGGTGTGCCAGGAGACCTGCAGGACCTGGGCAGGGGCTGGGCAGGGGCTGGGTGTTGGGCCACAGATGTCTGGGGCTCCTGGAACTGCGTGTCCACCGTCCCCACCCTGCCAACGCTGGGCATCCGTGTGCGTGAGGGGACGTGGAAACTGGGACGGTCCCGGATGATCGTTGATAAGAGAGGTGACTTAGGGTGGGGAGGGTCCGCTGCGCTCACGGCCTCCCGGGGACGTGGGTCCGCCTGACTTGCTGGGACCCGTTCCGACTGTCAGAGGTTCTTGTTCTGGGCTTGCAGAGAAGGAGCCAGGACAGGGACACAGGCCCTCAGACAGAGGGACGCAGACAAACTGCCCAAGGGGACGTGAGCTGCCGGCAGGCAGGGCAGGGCGCAGGGTCTCCCAGGTACTCGGCCAGATCCAGCTCCGGCTGCAGCCCGTCCACCTTGGACTTCTCGGTACTGGGGGCCTGTTCCTCTGTGTGTGAGTGTGTGTGCACACGCGTGTGCGTGTATTCCAGTGTGTGTGCGTCTGTTGCTTGCAACCAAGAATCCTGGCCAGTGGGGGGACTCAGACTTAGAAGAAGCAAAGTCACGTCACAAATCCCCGCCCTCTGATGTGCACTTGGCTGGAGCCTGGTGGGAAGGCACAGTGACACCCTCACTGCCTCGGGAGCCAGGTCAGCTCAGGTTGGCTCAGGTTGGCTCTGCCCCACCCCCGGACACCCAAGGTCTCCTGGGGACCGTTCAGCGGAGGCCCCGGAAGCCGAATACTCTTCAGTCCCTCGTTGGCCGTTGGCTGGAAGGTGCCCTCAGCTGGAAGCCTGGTGGGTGTGGGTAAGACAGGCCCTTCCTCACTGCGCCGGCCCCGCCTCCCACTCCAAGCCCTGGCCAGGGGGGCTCAGTCTCTGGGGCGTTAGAATCACCAGGGAGGGACACTCTCTTTCTGCCGGGACAGCCGAATTCATCAAATATGAATGAGAATGAATGCAACCCAGACGAAGGCAGAGCCGAGAACCAGGAAGCAGAGGGGCCACTGCCAGAACATGGTCGGAGGCCCCGGATCCGGTGGGTTTAAGGGGATGATCCCTTCTGGAGGCCCCCCTACACACCCCACCCCTGGGCTAGATGAAACGCGGGTTTCTGCACTTATCACCAAACTTCCTGATCACCGTGGTGTAGAAGTCTGTCGATGAAACTGACCTTGAACGTACAATCAATACTCTCTAGTGGCCTGAAGCTGAGATGAGGGGCGGCCTCGGGCTGCGGGCAGCGGCAGGGGGCGGGGCCGGATGGCCAGGGCGCCCTGGGAAGTTCCCGGGTGGAGGGAGACATCTGTGCCCCGACTCGGTGAAGATGTGGTGCACACAGGTCAGAGACTGGGGCTTTACGTTACCTGAGAGCGTTTTACTGCATGTAAATCAGACCGCAGTGAAAGCAACTGGAACAGTTTTTAAGAACCATGTGTCCGGTGGGTAACCCTTCTGCTTTGCCGGGAAACTTCGTGCTGGCATTTGGACCCACTGAGCAGAGTTTTCCATGAGTCTCAACTTTGCGAACTGTGCCCTGTTGTTTTCTCTAAGCCCTCACTGGCTGCTTTCCAGTCCTCCCCACCCCCCGCCGGCTTAAAATACAATATTTTGTGCTTGCACTTGGGTGTCCTGATTCGGGAAGATCTCTGCAGTGTGTTTGCATAGCTTCGGCCTCGTTGGCATGTGTGAAGGTCCCGTTGGACCTGGCTCCTCCCCGATCCCAGAGAGGCTAGGTCACAAGTGCACGGTCTCTCCATCCCACCTTCTAGAAGCAGCCCTTGGTTCCTGGGAAGGAGGGATTCGCCTGGCCGAGGGCTGTGAACCAAGCTGTGCTTGTGCCACAAGACCTTGGCCTTGAAATGCCGGCATGCAATAGGAAACCCAAGTTATTGCAAAACCAAAGCAGGCAGGGGGCTCGAGAAAGCTGGGTGGGCGCCAGGCGGGCAGCTGCTTGCTCGCCGAGGGTAGATGAAGACAGCAAGAGGCCCGGGTGTCCAGGGCTTTGCTGTGCTGTCTGCCTCCCGCCTCCACTGCGTTTCCGAGGCCGACAGCCTGAAACGGAGATGTCCCTCTGGTCTCAGTCACGAGTGGAGCTGACAAGGGTGGTCTGGGGCATCCTTGGGTGGCGGCGGGCACCACTCTGAACCCCGACTCCCGGTGCTCTGCTGGCGGCCAGTGCAGAGGCCGGAGGCCTGCGCTTCCAGTGAGCAAGATGGTCACTGAGCCGGCGGACGGTGATGGGGCTGCAGCCAGGGCTGACCACCTGGTGGGCTGACCTGGGATGAGCAGCTCCACCCACCCGCAAACCTGGCTTCTACAGCAGGCATTAACTGCTGTCACCACGGAGCCTGCTGTGAAGATCCAAGTACATTTATAGGTGGGGCTCTTAGCACAGACCCATGGCACATTGCAGGTCCTCAATAAATGGCAGTCTGCGCCGTAATCACCTGTGCCTGGGATGGGCTGCTGCCGTGAACGTCTCTCCCTCCATGGCCCCACCTCCTCCCTTCCCTCCTCCCTGGGCCCTGAGGCCTGGCTGCGGCACTCAAGGAAACTGGGGCGCAGCAGAACCGAGGTCCCATACCCGGCAGGTGGCGTTGGCCCTGGCTCCCGGAGTCTTGCTCTTGAATTCCGCTGTTCATTCCTCGCTTTGACTAAAAGAGGGGGTGCTTCTCCTCCTGTCCGTTTTTGTAGAGAGAGGTGCTGGGACACGAGAGAGAGCTTGAAGCTTTGCCCCCCCCCCTCAGCCCACCCCAGCCCTCCGGTCCTGTTGGGGAGGAAGTACTGCTCAGTGAGCACCAGGGCAGCCGGGCGGCGTGCTCCCTTTGCCCGGCCCCCCCAGCCCTTCCTCAGTCCGCACCAGGGCCCCCCGCCGGAAACGCAGTCCTGTGGTCCTGCAGCTGAGGTGTGGTTCTCAGCAGGGAGTGGCCGAGTCCCTGGGCAGTGTGGAGCCTCGCCTCCTGCTTCTACCAAACACCCAGGAAGAAGGCGGCTCGTTGTGGTGCCCTCGAGGGTGGGGGTGGAGGTGGAGGGCGCCCCACCCTGTGTGGCTCCCTGGCCTGCTCTAACAATTAAGTCCCAGAGGAGGGGGGAGGGACGTGGAGGAGGCCTGCGGCGGCTGCTGCTCCGGCAGGCGCCCGTGCTGCCGCCCGTCTCAGCCCCGGAGCTGGCAGGAGGTGCCCCGACGCCCCCGGGCCTGCGCGCGGTGTGCGGAGAGCAAGGCCGCTCCCTCCCCAGACTAGTGCTGGGCACACGAGAAGGTCCACCGACTAGGAGAGGCCCAGTTCCTGGAGTTGACCCCCCGCCTCCCAGGCCTAGTGCCGCTACGGGCAGATTCGTGTTCACACAGGGCCCAGGCCTCTGCTCAGCCCCAGGCGGGGGCAGTGGGTAGGCAGGCAGCCCTCACCCACGGGGCCTGGGATCTGAGCCTCGGCGGGGAGGCCCCTTCCATCTCCTGGCATAGATGGGGGGAAGCTCCCTGCAAGGGCTCAGGGCTGGAGGCCTCGGATGGGGGCTCCAGGCACTGAGGACCCAGGCCCCCAAACGGCCCCTCAGCCACCCTTGTGAAGGGGCCCCAGCCTCTGCGTAAAGTAGGAGGACGCCGGCACAGGGGGCTGCCCTGCCTTGGCGAGTCTGGACAGGGAGCAAGAGGAGAGGACGCAGCCCTCCACCCCAGGGGGTTTCCGTGTGGACACACTGTGCTCCTCGCAGGCAGAGGATGTAGTAACACAGGGCCTGGCACTGAGTAGGTGTGATGAAAACCGAGGTTCCCGGGGACAGCAGGGGCCCCGGTGGGTGAGAGGGCCCTGGAGGGCGCCCGGAGGGGGCGAGGCTGGCCGACCGCACCCCTCCTCGGAGGAGCAGACTCCCTGCAGGGAGAGGCAGCACGTGGGGTGGGGTGGGGGGCTTGGAGGACAGCGTGGCGGAGAAAGCCCAGGGGCCAGGACAGCGCAGGCTGCAGGGAGGCTGTCCTGTGTTTGGAAAGGCTGCCGCAGGCCCTGGTCCCCGAGGGCAGCTCCGTGAGGAACCGGACCAGGGAGAGGGCAGAGGCAATAAAATACAAAATTTATTGATGTACATTTATCGTCTTTTGTAAAACTTCCTTTGGCTACGCTGGGCCACTGCGCTTGAAGGTAGGCCGGGTGGCCCGGCTGGGCCAGTGCCCACTTTGGGGCAGGCCTGGGGCCCGGAGACCGCCCGGGCGGATCACAGCTGGGACTCGCCGCCTGCTCCGGGAGGCTGCCGGGCTGGCTGGCACGGAGCCAGAAAACAAAGTGACTGGCCCAAGCTGCCTGAAGGTCCTTCCCGCCTCTACCTGCTTGCTGTCACCACAGGGTTCATCAAGGGGGCAGGGGCTTCACTTGGAGAAAGACCGAGCCACGGGCAGGCGACCCAGTGCACTCTCCCAGACAGCCCCTTCCCGTTCGGGTGCGCCGCCAGCGCCAGCGTTGCCTAGAGAGGAGGCCCGGCGTCAGCAGGTGCCCGGATGGCGGGAGGAGGTGATGGTGGGGCTGTGTCATTTCCAAGCAGGGCTCCCGTAAAGGGGCAGGAGGTGGACAAGGTTTGGTGGCCCCTCCCATCTCCTTTACGGACCAGCCTGCGGTAAGGAGGCCCACCACCTGAGGACACCTTCTGGGTCACTGACGCAGGAGGCTGGCTGGGGGCGGGGCCTGGTGAGGCCACAGGCTCGGTCTCTTGCTCGCTTACAGAGCCTCCGGCCCAGGGGCAGGGAGGCCTAAGGGGCGGGAAGCAGACTTTTCTCCTTGAATTCAGCACCCGGCCGCTGCCCAGTTCCTGTCCCAGTGAAGGGTCTCTGGAGGTCACGGCTGCTCGGCCCGGGCCTCCCCTCCAGGGCCTGCCCCTCAGGAGGCGTTCCCAGAGGTGCCCTGCATCTCCATGGTGACCGTGTTGGGCGTGCCGGCCCCGACCTCCCCCAGCTCGGCGCCGTCCCGCAGGGCCCGCTGGAAGACCACCCTGAGAGGCTCCCAGAGCCGCTGGGACTTGTCCCTCCCTGCCAGGAAGTAGACCACGGGCTTGGCGCTGCTGTGGATGCAGATGCAGAGGTCGGTGACGTACTCGGGGAACGGGGCCGGGATCTGGAAGACCCAGAAGAGGAACCAGTCGATCCCTAGGTAGATGGAGGACACGAGGAAAACCGAGACCACGGCCAGGATGACGTGGTTGAGCTTGGCGGAGCGCTGGCGCCGCCGCGCGCGGCACTCCACGTGCAGGATGAGCGCCAGGCAGGGCAGCACCATGAGCGGGCAGAAGACCAGGAAGAGCAGCACGCCCAGGGAGATGTCCATGTGCCTGCAGGGGCCGCCCGAGGCCTGGCGGCCCAGGAACACGCAGAAGTAGTTGTGGACGCCGGTGACCAGGAGCGACAGGGTCCAGAGCAGGGCGCACACCACGGCCGACAGGCGCTTGGGCCGCTGGCGCCAGTACCAGGCGGGAAAGATGACCGACAGGCAGCGCTCCGTGCTGATGGCCGGCAGGAGGCTCACGCCGGCGACAAACGTGCAGAGCCCCAGGACCCTGGACACCGCGCGGACGTATTCGGCAAAGGTGCCCAGGAAGCCCCCCGTGTTGAGGATGGAGAGCACGGCCTTGCTAAAGAGGTAGCCCGCGTCGGCGCCAGCCAGGTGCAGGAAGTAGATGGAGAAGGGGCTCCGCTTGATGGAGAAGCCGAAGAACCAGAGCACCAGCCCGTTGCCCACGAGCCCGCACAGGCAGAGGAGCAGGAAGATGTAGTTCACGACGGCCGGCGGCGGTGGCGCGGCGATCTGCTCCATGGTCAGGAAGCCGCGGCTGTACAGCTCCGCGGCCTCGCTCGCGCCCGGACACATCTGCGTGGGCGCGGAGGGGAGACACCCGGTGAGGCGACTGGGCCCGCCCCCGACCCTGCGTCCCGGTGTGCTGGCCCTCACCACGGACACGCAGGCCACTGGCTCTGGAGCAAACTCCTTGGCTCCAGCTAGAGCCGGTGACACTTCTGATTCCACCCCATGACCTGGACTCTGGAGCCAGCACCCTACAGGAGTGACCGTGAAAAATAGTCCCTTCCGAAGAAGGGCACCGGGCTGCCCACCTGTCCTAACAGACACTCAAAAACGTCCACCGACCGCGCCAAGTAAGGAAAAGCCGAGGGGCCTGTCCAGAGGGAAGGCGGAGAGGTGTGACCACTGAGCTGCCCTGTGTCCTGGGGGGTGTTGCGGGGGCGACCGCGTGAGTGTAGACTCCACGCTGCCTCGCTGGGAGAATGGACTCACTGTGTGTGGGGATGTCCATGTTCTTCAGGGAGATGGGCTACTGGGGGCAAAGTGGCTTGGTGTCTGCGATTTGCTTTCACACAGTCATGGGAGGAAAGGTGTATCGGGGGAGAGAGAGAAAATGTGGAGAGAGGGTGACAGTGAGCCACCGGAGGGTGTGTGGTGTTTGTTGTACTGTCGTCTTAGCTTTTCTGTTCGCTTGCAGTATTTCACACTAAAATGTGAAAATATTTATTAAAAAATAAAATCTCTGCCCCAGCAGGTGTGGCTCAGTGGGTTGGGCATTGCCCACCAAACTGAAAGGTCTCTGGTTCGATTCCCGGTCCCGGTACAGCCTGGGTTGCAGGTTTGGTCCCTGGTCGGGGTTTATACAGAAGACAACCAATCAACATTGATGTTTCTCTCTCTCCCCTCCCTCCTCTCTAAAATTATATATATTAATATATATAATAATAAAAGTATATATAAATTTATATAAAGTTCATATATAGGTAAATTAAAAAATAAAATCCTAAGTTACAGAAACCAGCGAGTGGGCCGCTCCCAGTGGGAGCAGAGACACCTCGGGCATTGGAGGCGGCCCGCTGCTGGGCCAGGGGCCCCTCTGGGAGCTGGGTGGGGTCCCAGGGCAGGGGGTGCGGGGAAGCACTTCAGTGTTTTAACAATGGCCTGACTGCTCCAGTGCTCAGTCCTGCCTGCAGGGTCTGGGCTGCCGTCCGGTCCAGTGAAGGTGGGCCAGGTGCGGGAGATGGGTGGGGGGCGGGGACATGGAGAGCAGTGACCCCCACCCGAGAAAGCCAGTGACCACTGTGCTCCAGCCCTGACCATCCTTCCCTGACCCCAGAGACACCAGGACTCCAGATTGTGATGGGACATCCCTGATCTTTAAAGGTTGACATTTAAAAGCCACCGTGTGGGCCAAACACATCACATCTCCTGCAAGGTTCGGTCCTCCTGCTGTCCATGTTTGTTCTCACCTCACTCCAAGGCTGCCCAGAGCAGGCAGCTAAGCATCCCACACCCGGGCAGGCATCACTAATCCACCTCAGCACGCATCCATCTCAGCCTTCTTCACGGCCCAGCCCCCACCTCCCCACCCGCCTCCCCCCATCCAAGGCTGGGTACCAGTTTCCATGGCTCACGACTCTCCAAAACAAAGCAAAGCAAAGCAAAACAAACGGGAAGGTTCTTAAAGCAGGACCGTGGTGCCACCTTCCAGATGGCCCCCAGCCCAGGCAGGAAGCTGCGTCCTGAGGGGCTGCTCTCTGGGCTCAACACCCTGAGACAGAGCGAGGGGCCTTCTGAGCCGGGTCAAGGGGGATCTACGAACAGTGCCTGGAGGGTGTGGGCAAACTTTGGGCAAGCACTTTGAGGGGTCCTATTCACCACCCATCATCACTGAGAACATTTATTGGCTCTGTGCCTCAGTCTGCCTGTCTGTCTGTCCGTCAGCCCCCAAGCCCCTTAACTGGCCCTTTATTCAGCATTTCCTGCGGGTGGTTGGATCACTCCAGGCCACAGGGCAGCCCCTTACCAGCGTCCCCTCAGCTGGGGAACCAGACCTAGCCATTCATGAGACCCTAGGCCTAAACACGCCCGTGGGGGACCGGCCCCAATACCAGGAGGGATCAGACAGGCCAGGTCGCTCTGTGCCTCTCCAGGCTGGAAAAAGCCTGCAGTCCCGGCTCCGAGTCAGGGCGGGAAGGCGGGGCGGTGAGTCACGGGGTGTGGGGCTGCCACTGCTGGACACGTACTGCCTTGTGAAATGCCTGCTCTGGAGCCCGGCCCGCTCTGGCCTTGCCTTCTGCCGGGGAGTTCTGGGATCTCCCCCCGGGCTGTCCCGCCTCTGTCCCCCCCCCCCCCACGACGCTGCCACCCCCACGGGGGTCACTCTCAGAGGAGGGAAATGCCAGGGGCTGAGGTCAGGCCCCGGGCCAGGAGTCCCAGCTCCGTCCCGACCTCCGGGCCACCGCTGGCCACGTCACTATGCCAGTGGCAGCCTCAGTGTCCTCAGTGTGGAAGAGAGGCGCTGGGTGAGGGTGCAGTTCCTTCTACCTCCAGGGTGTTTTCCCTGCGTGTGGGAAGGGGCTCCAGCGCGTCCAAGGGTCCCTGGGGTGGGGTGGGGGCTGTCAGAGTCTCCAGCAGGCAAAAGTGACTAAGACCCTGGCCTTGGGCAACCCTGCCAGGCTGACTTGGAGCAGGCCACACCCCATAGAGCACGGGACAGCAGGGTCACCTCGGAGCCAGCTTTTTGGGGTGGCTGGGGAAGATAGCCCAGCACCCACTCTCTGCAGGACAAAGGCGAAAAGAAGTCTCTGGGATGGTAACTGATGCCCCAAGGGGTCCAGGGGTGTGGGACTCCCTGTGCTTGCCTCATTGGTGAGGACGATGGGGACCCGAGGGACATCCCGTTGCCTACCTGTCCATCCTGAGCGAGAGGAGGAGGCCTGGGGAGCAGTGTGTTGGCAGGTGGGGACTTCCGGGCCGGGCCCGCCCCTCCCGCCGCACCTGCCCCTCTGCCGAGCACACTTGCCTCGTTCCGGTCGCCGGGGCGGCCCTCCCAGGAGCAGTTCCCAGCCATCTCCAGGCCAGTGGAGTCCGGGTTCCTGGTGGCCCTGCTCGCAGCTCACCGGCCAGCACAGCCCACCTGGCCAAGGCAGAAAGGACCACATCAGGGCAGTGGTGCTCTCCCCGCCTCCCAGGCCCTTGTCCCCTGGACCCTAAGGGGCAGGTCCGTGTGGGAGGCACAGGGATCATCCTGCTGAGGCCGGCGTGGGTCACCACCTGCGTTCACCCGTTGCTGACACCATAGTCAGGCCTCCCTGGGGGCCACACATATCTCCTGGGCCCCTCCTCTGTGCTCAGCCCACGATGGGACAGGTTCCCTAGCAGTCAGCCCCAGAAGGCAGGGAGGCTTCCTGGAGGAGGAGGCCTTTGGCTGGGTCTTGTGTTTATATTATAGCACATGAAGGTATGTCTGGTCTTTCCTTAGAGGCAAGACGGCTGGGTCATCATCAGTGTTTCTGTTGCCCCATCAGTCCCCGCGTCATGAATACCAGCTGGAAGTGGGGAGCTGCGCCAGCCTGCCTACACCCACCACCCCGCTGGGTCCTCGTTATCAGCCACAAGGCAGGTGCTGTCATGCCCCTTGGGTGGGAGGTGAGGCCACCTGCCCAGGAGCACAGCCATAGCCTGCACCTGCTGTAGCTCTGCAGCTGGGAAGGCAGGAGCGAGCTGTTGGAGGAGCAAGCCCGGGGGGCCTCTGCAGTGGCCCGGGCTCCAGGCCAGTGGAGGGGCAGCAGGACTCTCAGCTAGGATGGCAGGCAGGTTGGGGAGACCTGGGGTCATTGACAGTCCTGGGAGGGGGCTTCCTGGCCAGAGGCTGGCCTGCACTGTCAGGGCGGAGCTCACAGGCCCGCCCGCGCTGGCCCCCCAGCCTGGGAGCTCTGCCCCCACAGGCAGGTGCCTCTGCCTCCCGCTGTGCGGGTGGGGAAATGGAGGCTGTGTGCAGAGAAGACACGTCCTGCAGGGACACAGCCTGGCGAAGGCCACTGGGCGTCTCCTCCGAAGGACGGAGAGCTGGGCAGCACTCAGCTGGACTCCCCCAGAATTCCTTTCCCTCACCGGCCGCCAGCGGGGGCTGGGCCGCAGCAGGCACACCCATCGTTGGCTGGAAAGGGTAGTGATCGGTGCAGGTTGCCTGCTCCTGCTTAACCCTTGGTGCCCGCAAGGCAGTGGTGCCAGTGCAGCCCCGAGCACACTTGGACCCGGCACATAGTGGGGCTGCGCGGGTGCCCCAGGGAGGTTTCTCTCGGGGCCGGCTGCGAGCCACGAGCCACGCACGCCAGAGTAAGCGAGTGCGTGGTGCATGTGCAGTGTGGGTTTGCAGGGAGTGGGCCTGTGCGTCTTAACCTCCGCCCCCTCTGCTCTCTGGGCTCGAGGTGGGCCGCTGTCCCCATGGCCACGAGCAGGCCTCACGCTTCCTCCGCGCTGGGACTCGCCGGAGCTCTCCGAGGCCTGCCTGCGGCCACCTGCCTCCCCCCTCGCACCCCGCCTGGTCCCCCTGCACTGTGCCTTCCCAGTGCCCTTCCCACAGGCACCGCCCCTGAGGTCTGGGCTCCTGCGGTGGCCCTGGGGAGTGCCCTGACAGTAGAGAGCCCCGCCACTTCACCCAGGCCGGCTGGACGCCCGACCACCCAGGTGCCCCCAAGGGCAGTGGGCTGGGACCTGCCCCTGATGCCTGGCTTGGACGGGGCTTGTGGTCGGAGCCCCGCCCCAAGCTCACCTCTGGGGCTGACTCAGTGGGCTCACGCCCCTGTGTCTCTGAGCCCCCACAGGGAAGCTGCAGCACTCACCCAGCGAGCTCTGGGAGCCAAGTGGACTCCAGATGGGCCATAAAAAGACATGTGTGTGGCATGTGCGTGGGGTGTGTGTGAGGGCGTGTGTGGGTGTGCGCCTCTTTGGCTGGAATCTGGCCCGTGACCGAGCTAGCTTCCACTAAAGCAGACCAAAAAAAAAAAAAACGCTGCCAGCTCAGCTCACTCCTGACCCTCCCCTCAAAACACAAGCCAGGGCCCCGACACCTGCCCGGCTGCCCTGACCCCCCAGAGCCTCACCCTGCCACCGCCGCCCACCACAACCCAGCCCCAGGTGAGGCCGTCCTCCAGGAGGCCCGGGTCGGGGCTGTCACGCTCCACACTCGTCTGTCTTCCCAGCCCTCGCCTCGTCACCAAGCTGCCACCCGGCTGGACCTGGAGCACGGGCTGGCATTCCCCTCGGACACAGGCAGCCTGAGTTTCCTCACTCAGGGCCCCTCCTCTGCTCACGACTTGGGTTGAAGAGGCTCCGTTCGGGGAACGAAGACCTTCCAGAAGGTTTCACCAATAGCCTCCATCCCGTGCCAACCCCCCACCAGGCGTCCCTGGCCTGGGAGAAGGTGGGACACAGCTGTGCAGCTTCCTGTGGCTGCAGAGGCCAATCCATCACATCCGCCCCCAGGGCCGGCCCCACGCCACCCGAGCTCAGCACCCGCGGAAGGAGGGAGCACAGTGGTGGGGCGTGCACGGAGTGCGTGAGAGCGGCAGGAGCTTGGGATGCTGCCCGATGGGTGTCCCCTCCCCACCCTTCCAGGCTTGGACAGCTGCTGGCCAGGGTGGTGAGGGGACGGGAGACGGGCTCCCACCCACAGGAAGACAGAGCAGGACCTGGAAGTGGAAGAGAGCCTAGGGGTCCGGGCCTGCTGGCACCCCAGGGCCTGCCCCACCGGAGGGGACCGCCAGTGTCCCTGGGACCGTCAGTGTCCCTGGGACCGCTGCAGCCTCAAGAGTCCTGCAGGAGACCCTCACATGGTGACAGCCCTCTAGGGCGTCAGGGCTCCTGCCTGGGGCTGTGTGGTTTCAGGGGGCTGCCTGCCCCAAAGGTGCTACCTCATCCTCCGACCCTGCCTGGCCTTTGCCCTGCAGCCCTGTTCCTGGGCCTCCCTCCCCTGGGCCCAGGCCGTGGAGATACCTGCAGGTGTTGCGATCCTCCAGGGCCTCCCCTGTGTGGAGGGCTCCTTCGGCGACGCCCACCTCCGTCGAGAGACCACCGTGCAGCAGGCCGGCACTGAGCACCACCGGAGCCTCCGAAAACAAGAGCCCGGCACGGAGGAGAGCCCTCCCTGCTGCTGGGGAAGATGGCTTTGGAAGCAGAACCCGCCCCAAACCCAATTCCAGGCCCGGCGGGAGGGGGAGGGGCGGGGGAGGAGCAGGAGGGGCTGAGCCGGGATGAGGCTTCGGGAAGGAATGCCCTGCTCCAGAGCCCCCACCCCCACCCCAGAGCCCCACTGGGAACTCATCACTGCGCCTGGTGACGTCAAGTTGGCCCGAGCACTGTGGACAGAGTCCAGCTGTTCATCTCCTGTGCATCCTGGAGAGAGGGAGCGCCCGCGGTCCCCTTGCCTGGTGCCTTCCAAGGGCTCCCACTGGGCCTTTCAGCCTGGGAGGGGCAGGTCCCCATCGATTGTTCAAATGTACGAGGGGCTCATACGGAGAAGCCAGGAGGCGGCAGGTGAGGCTGCTCCCAGGGGGCGGTGCAGAAGGCTGGGACGCAGGCTTGGCACAGCGAGGCCACCCAGGTGGCACTGCACTCCCCCCACCCTGACGCTGCCCGGGCCCCCTGCAGGCTCACGGGACCAGGAATCCCCCTCTCCAAGCCCTAATGGCAATCAGATGGCCGAGTGGAAAATCACCGGCTCGCCGGGGCCAAGCCTGGAACTGGCGGCCGCCTTGCTTGCTGCGTGCAGTTCACGGGGAGGAGGAGTCAGCCTCGGCTCCCCCCACGAGCATCCACAGGGGCCTGGGGCAGCGAGCCAGAGCCTGGGGCGTGCAGCCACCCCAGGGGCGGCATGAAGACAGGGGCAGGAGGAGTGGCTTCCCAGGGAGCCCCTGGAGAAAGCCCTCCTGCCCTGGGCCAACTTTCTCACGGCCCAGGGAGCCCGAGGGGGCCCGAGGGAAGTGCTTTCCCTGCAGGAGCCGACCGTATCTGTGTGGGTGCCTCTGGGGCATCTTGGAGGGAGCCCGAAATGGAGCTGCCCTTGCACCTGCCAGAGGGGTGGGGGGGGCCTGCAGGCCTCTGACCCGGGGCGGGGGTGGGGCAGTAGGATGCCATGCCTGGGGCTTCGAGACTACAGGCTGGGTGACCCTCCCCCGTCCCCAGGGCAGGCCAGCTGGGGCCCAGCTGGACCACTTGTTTATGTGGGGAGGCCCAGGGGAGGGGGGGCAGGCCGGAGGAGGCTGAGTCCAGGCAAGTTCCAAGTGTAATTGCATTTGGACACTTAAAAGGAGCTTCGTGAAGTGGGCAGCGGCTCGGAGGCTGCCGCCTTATTTGGTGTGGAAATTTGTTTCCTTCACAACTAGGAGAGGCGTTCGTAAGTGGGAAAGCCATCCTTTGCCTGGGTTTGTTTGCCACCCGCTGTCCCGAGCTGGAGGCCGGGCTCCTGCAGGGACTGTGGAGGGAGCCCAGCTGGCTGGCACGTGGGGCTCTTCCGCTGGCTGCTCCCAACCGTGGGTGGTCCCGGGCCTGGCCCCCTCACCTGCAGGTGGGGGAAAGATGACTCACGAAGTTGTGGTGGGGAAGGGGTCAGACCAGGGTAGCCAAGCGGGCTGCACACTTCAGACAGGCTCTGCCCAAGAACTTTATTTCTAACGGTAGGCCTCACAGAGGGACTCTGGTCCCACAGCCCCCTCAGGCAGGACCCTCCTCAGCTGGGGTTCCAGGGGGCCGGAGGCGGGTTCTGGGCAGGGCTGTCTGCTGCTGGGGCCCTCCGGTGGTCCACAGTGGCCACCTGGGTGACGGGGGCCGTGGGGCAGAGCCTCGGCAGCGGGGCTCCTCTCGCTGGGGCAGTCAGAGCGGCTGCTGGGCGTCAGGCACTGTGCCCCGGGCTGCCGAACTGCTCAAGTCCAGCTGGGGGGCAGACCAGACTCAGAGGGTCCAAACGCACATCAAACCTACCTGAACAGAAGGCACCGAGGCCAGGTGTGCCGGGGAAACCAGGGCAGCTTCCCCGAGGAGGTGATGGTGCCGTCCCGAGGACAGCTGGGCAGGAGCCGTGACGGGGGCCGCGGGGCCCAGGGGATGCTCGGAGGGCGGGGGCAGGTGAGGTGCCCAAGCCTGCAGCTCCGATCAGCTCACGGGGCCCACAGTCTCACACTCTTTGCCGTGTTCTCACCTCTCTGACGCCATTTGCCTCGTTCGTTCATCAGGGGACAAGTGCAGCGGTGGGGACAGCGACGGTTGACGTGGACTGTGTCCCTGTGTCCGAAAGCCAGGCCTGCACAGGTGGAATCACTAATCCTTCCCGCACTGCCCACTCGACACATTCCTCCAGCACGTACTCACCCACTGACCACCGACTATGCTCCAGGCACCCTTCTGGGCCCGGAGAGTCCCATGATGAACAAATCACATAAAGACCCCGCCTGCAGGTCGCCCACGTTCTGGAGATGAGAAGGCTGAGGCCCAGGGGGCAACTCTGTGTGTCTGTTGGACAAACCCCACTCCAACCTCAGGGCAGTCACCGAGGGGCAGGAGCTCGCTGGGTCCACCTCTCCAGCCTCGGGCGTGGGCACATCCAGGTGTGAGGAGGACTCTGGAGCCCCAAGACAGAGCCCTGGCTCTGCCTCTGGCCAGCTGAGGGGACCTGCGCCCCAAAGAGGCGGGCGGGGCTTGGTGCTGCCTGTGCCCCGTGCCTCAGCCTTGCCTGCCACTTTAGCTCCGACAGGCGGGTGCTTCCTGGTTCTCAGCAGGTACTTTCTTATTCCTGCACAGGCAAATGTGCGCTTGTTCTGGGCCTCCCAGGTCAACCCCGGAGGCCCTGTGGTTCCCACCCTTGAAATAAAAAGGTCTCTCCCAGGTCTAGCTAGTTCTCCCGACTGGGAGGGCTGAGTGGGACCCCCTCCGTCCCCCCCTCCTCCAGCCAGGCTGGGGTGCCTGTGATAGATGCTGCATCTTGGGACTCGCTGCAGGAGGCCACATTCTCCTCTGTCCCTGTGCAGAGGACTATTCATTTGTTCATCCACCCACCATCCATCCAACATCCCACCACCCAGCGTGCACGCATCCATCCTTCATTCATTCTTATCTGCACTCCACACACAGTTACTGAACCAACAATGTGGATCCTGGGGAAAGAACTGTGGAGGAACCAGACGTGGAGGGAAGGAAGAAGGGGGGATGAACAGAAACAAATGACGGAAGAATTCCGCCTGGGATCACTGCAGGGAGGAAGACGCACAGGCGTGGGGATAGAAAGTTACGTGGTAGGAGACGAGAGGGCGTATCCCAGGCTGGATAACGGCCTCCAGAAACGTCGATGTCCTCATTTCCGGGTCCCGAGACTGTGGGACCTTCCACCGCAAAAGGGACTTTGCAGATCTGATGAGGTTAAGGATCCTGAGATAGGGAGTTCATTCTGGGTAATGCAGGCGGGTCCCCTGTAATTGCACGGGTCCTTCTGAGAGAGAGGTAGGGGGGCGATCCGGAGATTGGGCGGTTGACGTGGTGACCGGAGACAGAGGCCAGGGAATGTGAAAAAGGAGGCATGAGCCAGGCATACAAGTGGCTCGGGACCCTGAAAAAGACAAGCAGGTGGATTTTCCCCCTGGGGCTTCAGAAGGAACCAGCCCAGCAAAGACCTTGATTTTAGTCTTCTTATCTCTAGAACTACAAGAGAATAAATGGGTGTTGTCTTAAGCCACTAAGTTTGGGCTCATTTGTTATAGCAACAGTAGGAGATGCACACAGAATGCTGGGTGGCCTGTTGATGGGGGGCAGGCTGGGAGTTCCTCCTGCGTGAGCTGAGACCTGCAAGGGGGAAGGGGGTGGAGCCAGGTCCTCAGAGCCCTCAGGAAAGCATTCTGGGACAGACAACAGCAGGTGCAAAGGCCCTGGGGTGGGGAACATCTGTCTCTATGTTCAGTAGAGAATTGTGCGTGTGCATTAGGATCCAAACAAGGTTCATGGGAGGATGCGCTTCTTGTCCTTTATTTTAATCTGTGGGTTCTCCTGCTGCTTCCCTCCCTTCCTCAACATCCCCCCCCCCCCGCCAGGTGGATCAGAAAACAGACACAGCACACTATTAGGGAAATAAGACTTTAACAGATGGGTGTGGGGGGGCTGGGGCAGGGGAGTCTGGGAGGCTGTGGCTGGACAAGGGAGAGCGGGTCATTAGTAAGCAGCCTGGAGCCCAGAGTCAGCACAGCAGCTGGAGCAGCCGGGAAGCAGCCCCGTCTGGATGCCGGAGCCGGAGGCAGAGGGGTCTGCGGAGTTCAGGCCCCGCCTTGCGCCACCTTCCAGACCCCTCACCAGCTCTGCCCCTGCACCCCAGGGAGGGTGCTCCCAAGCCACCGCCAGCCTGAGGGGGGCGCCACGGGGGCTGGCAGCCCAGCCGCCCGCCCCTCTGCGCCTGTGCCACGGGCACACGGCCTGCCTGCAACCATGCGTAACTTTTGGGGGAGGTGCACATAGTTTATTTGATGCCCAGGAAGCCCTATAAGGTCATGAGGACATGAGATGGGGAAGAGAAATGACGACGAGAATGCATTCCTGCTTCAGGGTCCGGTCTTCAGCTTATCGTCACCCCAGCCCCCGTGCAGGTCGCTGTGACAACCGACGCAGGGGCAACCCACACAGGGGAGGGGCAGAGACAGGCTGTGACTGCCAGTCAGGGTGGCCGTTGGACTCTCCCAGGGACTGGTGTCAACAACTCCTGCTTTGGGGGCACCAGGAGGGTGGAGGTCAGGGGTGACGGGTCTTAGATCCGGAGACCACCTTCCCGAGTGCTGGCCCGGCTGGCCACTGGCGCGTCCGTGCCAGTAAAAGGAAACCCACCTCGACCCGCTTCCAGTCAGTCACGACCGCTAACGAGTGCAGGACGGCAGAGCTGTTTTCCATTCCGAGTGTGCTGGTGTCCCCTGCTGGCGGCAGGCCACGCTTCCTCCACCTTCTGGCAGAAGTCGCTGTTTTCCAGACGAAGCTCGCGAGGGTTAGCTCCTGGTACAGCAGTTTGATTTGGAATTTCCCCCGAGGACTCGTTCCATCTGCCAGCCGAACAGATTGTCCTGATGGTGGGGGGAGGGGATTGTATTTCACGTCATTAAAAACAAAACAAAACAAAACAGGATCTCTTTAAAAATTATGGTACAATCTACCTACTGTAGAATTGGCCATTTTAGCCATTTCTAGGTGCATGGCATCGGGGTATAAGGCACATTCTCAGTTAGTACCGTCCCCATCCTCTGCCCAAACTCTCAGCCTCACAAAACCGAAACTCTGTCTCTGCTGAACCCCCGTCGTGCCCTCCCCGAACCTGCCTGACCCTCTGCTCATCCCAAGTGAGGGGCTGGCGCACAGGAGACACTGGGTCTGGACCAGCCTCCCCGGAGCGGCGCGCCCAGCCAGCTCTGTGTGTGTGTGTGTGGGGGAGGAGCAAGGGTCCCTCAGTGTTATTCTCTGAGCGGGTCCCCGTCTCAGCCCCTGGGGTGTTGCTGGCTCTGAGGGGCTCACCCAGTGTTTGCTGCCTGAGCCGAGTGGGGGCTTCTCCTCCGCCTTGCATAACAGATCTTGACTGTGAACCATCAGGTCCCCTAGCCTGGCTTAGAACCTCACAGGCCAGGGCAGGGCCAGCCCTCCCCAGCCTGGATGACCCCCGTCCCTCTTCAGACTAGCATTCAGGGGCCTCCCCTGCGGGCTCCGTGGTCCGGGTCGTCCCTGCCCCTTGGACCCGTGCCCTGCCGAAGAGGCCTGGGCAGCTGGCCTGGCAGCGAGCTCAGAGTCTGGGCTGCTTTCCAGGCCACCGTGGGGTCACTTCTGTCCCTGTCCTGTTGAGGCAGGCTCATCCATAGCTCACCTTCCCTGTGGCCCTGCTGCGGGCCTCCTGCCCAGCCCCTTTCTTTGCTGCGGACCCTCACCCCCCATCCCCCAGACCCCCTCTCTGGGGTTCGTCCTCTGAGGGCAGAGATGCCTTAAGAAGAGCTACCCGGGACCAAGGTGCCCCCGCACAGCCCAAGGCATGCAACCCCTCCCCAGGCTGGCTGGGGTGCAGGGTAGATGGGCGGGGTGTGGGCGGGGCGGCCTTTGCATGGGTGCCTGTGGTGCCCACAGGTAGTGCCATGGAGCTCACCTCCAAACCAGGCTGATGGTGCCCTACTGCCAGCGCCTGCCTGTCTCTGGCGGGGAGCCCGTGCCCCAGGAGTGGCCCCTGGCTAATGGCCAGCCTTATGAGGGTGTGGCGGGGGGGGGGACACCCAGCTTCCTTGTCCTGAGGGCCCCATGGGACGGAGCCCAGTTGCTGCCAGCTGCTAATGCACCTCCCACAACTCTGCTCATCCTTGACCTGTGTCTCGGCATCGACATGCACACCAACTCCGCGAGCCCTGTCTCGGGGCTCCCAGTCCGGGAAGACGCCTGTGCCAGGTCTGATTCGGCAAGGTCCCAGACGCCTCTCTGGCTGGCTGGCCTCTCCCAGGCCCTCAGCCCAGGCTCCCCAAGGGCCTTCTGCCCGGAACTGCGCCCCAGCCCCTCAGACCTCTGCGCTCGACCTTCAGCTCCGTAAGTGCAGCCTGCGCTGGCCTGGAAGGGTTTGTGTTCCACATACTTGTCCCCAGGACACGGTGAGGGGTCTGCTCACTCGGGCCCTGGCTCTCGGCCCGTGCTCGGTGACATGCTGTCCTTCCAGCCTCGGCCAGGCTTCGTGTCCCCTGTGCCCCTCACTCGCCGAGTGACCTCGGACGAAGCGCACGGCCTCTCGGAGTCTCAGTTTCAAGAGCAGCGAGACGAATGCGGTGCTGCTCTGTAGCTTCGAGGCTGGAGTGTGACAGGGGTCTGAGAACCCCCTGTGGTCTTAAAACACCGGGCCTGGTGTCTCCTGGAGGGGATGTGGGAGGAAGTGGGTGAGAGAACGGACGTGGGCCCTGAGGCCCTACTGTGCACCAGGTCTCATGGCAAACCCCACTTCCCGCGGGCTGCCTGAGCTCCCGGGCACGGGGTGGGGAGGGACGTGAACTCAGATCTGAACGACCCGAGCCTGTGCTTTTCCCATGTGACCACGCAGCTGGGTGGTTTTACTTTTCCCCACGTGCTTCTGGAAAGCATTTGGGCACCTTTTGTGTCGGTCAATCAATCCTGCCGAGGCCAGTTCCTGGCATGCAGTAGGTGCTCAATAGATGTGTGGACGATTGAGTGAGTGAATGAAAACCATGGAGCCACCTTTAGAAAGACCCACATGGGCACAGGCTTACAGCTCACGTGGAGGAAACCCACTGGGCGCTGGGCCAGATGCACCGGAAGGAAAGGATTGTGACCTGAGGAGTCTAGGGCAGGCCCAGGGTGTCCGGCTGGTGATGGCCAGTGCCTCCAGGCGTGAGGACGCGTGGCCCTTCTTGGAGCCTCCTTTGCCCCCCCCAGGGAGTTTCTGTCATTTCCCCTCTACACACAGTGAGACCCGAACATAGAGAGGGTTGGCACTTCACCCACGGCCCGAGGCACAGGTCTGGGAGCCGAGGGGACCCATGTCTGACATGCAAACCAAATTTGGGGTGACCTCCAGGCGCATATCTAGGGAGGAAAAGCTGTCTGCGGATGGCGCACGCCTCCAACAGTGGCCCTGCTGTGACGGGAACAGACCCTGTCTCAGTCTGAGCCAGGCAGTGTCTGTCCCCACCAAGAGGGTGCCTTTCTCCACTGCAGGTTCCCAGGGACACCTCGGGCAACAAAAGCCACGCAGGGACGCAGCTGCAGAGTGCGGAGTGTGGGGGCAGCTTGGGAGAGGAGGACAGTGTGCCCTTATGAATCTCAGATCTGTTTTCATGCCTGGGGGCCGGGCAGGGACCAGCCTGCCTGCCAAGGACCCCCTTTCTCATTGACGTTGTAAGCCACGGGCTGTGACTTCCCTCACTTGTGGGGGAAGCCAGTGCTTTGTGGCTGCAGGGCAAGCCCAGCCTGGGCCATGCCCCGGGCCTGATCAGCGGGGCTGGCCGCTGGGCTGCACCCCACCTGGGGCTGCACCCGACCTGTGCTCTTGGACTTGGCTGACGCTGGGCCAGGGCCGTCTTCAGGCCTGGTGCCTCTAGCCCGTTGGGTGATGCCATCTTTAGAGGAGCGTCATGGGGCCCTCCAGCCTCCGCTTCCCCATCTGTCATGGGGAGAGGGTGAGAACTGTGGCGTGGGAGGTGGCCTCAGGGGTGCGGGCGTTAGCATAAAAACAAGGCCTTTCTCGTCATTAACGGTCTAGGTAGCCTTCTAAGGTGGCCCCCAAGGGTCCCCCCTCCTGGTTTTCTTGCCATACATGACCGCCCTCTCCTTGACTGGGGCCGGACCTGGTGGCTCCCTCTAACCATAGAAAACCACAAGAATGATGGGATGCCTCCCTCTGGCTTTTCTCCCGTTCCTTCTGATGGAGCTGGCCACCACGTCCGGAGCTGCCCTGGGGAGAGGCCCACGTGGCTGGGAACTGAGGGCTGCCTCCAGGCGCCGGCCTTGGAGGACCTGAGGCGCTTGGGCCCAGGAGGAGCTGAGTCCAGCTGACAGCCGCTGAGCAAGCCTGGACCCACACGGAGCCTGAGATGGCTGCCGCCCAGGCCCTCACCATGGGACACCAGTGCCAGAGGCATCCGGCCGAGCCACATTCCGATGCCAGATTAAGGAAAATGAGGAGACAACAGCATTGTTTTAAATCATGAAGCTTGGGGGTTATTTGTCGCGGTCACATAGGGGCCAGATGGCACTTCTCTGGTTTCACCCCCAGGCCAGCACTGCCCCCTGGATGGGCCCGCGCTCCAGGGCCAGTGCTCCGGGGCCCAGGAGTCCCACACCCAGCACTGCCTGAGGGCCCCGCTATGCGGAGGACCCTGCCAACCCTTTCTCTCCTTGCGGGCACCACTCTGTTCTCAGCTGGTTTCCTGAAAGCTAGAGATGGACACGGAGGCCATCACTACCCAGCGGCCACCTGCCTGCACCCCAGGGACAGCCTGGCTGTAGCAAGGACAGCATGCTTGCTACACCTGGAGCAAGCTAGGCCGCTCCCCCAGAGTTGATTCCCAACCCCCTTCTGTGAGAGCTGCTTCCGTCAGCCCCCTGCACCCGCACCAGCACGCGAAGTAAGTCCGTGTGAATGCTGGCGCTGTGCCGCCCACCGTGGGGGTCTCCGGCTTTGTGCCCAGACATCAAGGGAATGCTTTAACTGTAAGAAGACAAGTCCTCGGGGACGGGCCACCTTTACGCAGGGCTGGGTGCATTTATTATTTTCTTCTTTCCAGAATGAAAATATCTTACATTGTCAAGCTTTAAAATGTTAAAAAACATCAAACCCATGAACACATCCGGTGATTCGTTTTTCTACCCACTTGAGATGGCCACACTCTAGCTCACTGAGCTGTATTGTCTTTCAAATATTTGCCAGCCCGTGTGTTCACTCACTGATTTCATTGTCACTTCAATCAGTCATTCTTCTAATGAGGTGGGGCTTTGCTTCCAGCATTTATCATTGATATTTCTTCCTTGGTAAACTTCTGGCTCATGTTTTTTGCCCCTTTCCTCCCTTTGGAGAATCTAACATATTTTTTAAAAATTTACTTTGGCCCCCATGACCTTCCACCTGCTGGCAACAGGCCTGTCATTTTAAAGGGTTAGAGGCAAGAGGGATTTTGCAGATGTCGTTGAAGTGACTAATCAAGTGACTTAAATACCGTAAGGAGAGGGTCCTGGATTATCTGAGGTGCCCAGTTTAAGCACATGAGCCTTTAAAAGCAAAGAGTTGTAGAGACGCTGGGTCAGTTACAGCCACGATAAAAGCACGTTCTTTCTATATTGATATTGCAAACGCTTTTTATACGTGCTGTGTTTTTTCAAGTGTGTCATTTGTCTTTTAAACTCCACCCTCAATTATATTTAATCCTGCTGACTTCATTATCAGAGTTCCATTTTGGGAGGCGTCCTCTGCGGTCACCCCCACGACACCCACACACGTGCAAAACAAATTCCTACGCCTTCCGAAGAGCTGGGGGTCCAGGGTCCTTAAGGCTCCTCCCAGGCGGAAGAAAGCCGAACACCGCCCTTGTAGGGGCGGGCTCCTAGAAGCCCCGCCTTCATACTGTAGAATTCCTTTCTCATTGGCTGGTAGCGAGGGTATCCCCTACGTCACAGTGGTGTTCGCTCCTCCTCCCGAACGCCAGGGGCGGGGACTTCTGCGCCTGCGCGGTAGAGCTCGGCGCTTTAGTTTTGAGCTTCTGTGAGGGTCCCGGCGACGAGCAGTGTCCCCATGGCGGAGTCTGAGCCCCTTCTGAGCCGGGTCCGCAGTGGCAGAGGGCGCGACTGCCCGGCGGGCGTGCCCTCTTGCCGCAGCGTCCAAGTCAGCCCTGGTGAGCGGCGGCTCGGGGAGGAGGCAGGGCCGCGCGGGGGCAGCGCGTGGGGGTCCCACGGCCCGCGCAGCGTCGCTGCTGTGACTGCGGGCGCGACCCCCACGGCCGGCCGAGGCCTGAGAGGGCCCGAGCGGCGTGGGGCGCGGGGACAGCTGCCTTCCGGAGGGCGGGGCGCTGCGCCTCTTGACCCCAGCGCGGAGTTGGGGACGCCGGCAGCGGCGCTCAGGCGCTGCAGGCTGGTGCCTGTCCCGGAGCAGCCGGGCGGAGAAGGCCTCGTGGGCCTCACCTAGCCCCGGGTCACACCGCCCGCGGCAGCCAGCTCGCCCTCCGCAGCCCCCTCAGAGTCCCCTTGGCGGACCCAGGCCACGTCGTTTTCGTGGATTGTCTTGCCGACTCCTCCGAGGCAGCAGTTCCACTTTCCCGGTTCTTATGGGGGAAACGGAGGCACAGAGAGGCACAGGGTTGTTACCCTCCCAAGGTCACACCGCCAAGAAGTGGCCCGGGTGGGATCCGAACCTGGCCCGGAGTAACTTGCTAGTCCTTTTGCTCGATCTTCTCTTACTCTTGGTCCCAAGAGGCTCCCCATTGACTGGTCCTCTCCAGCCGGGTGTTGGGGCCAGGCCTCTCCAGAGCGTAGTGGTTTCCTCCCGTTGCCTTTTGCAGCTCCCTCCTGGCCTTCCTGTTTACCCCCAGAGAGATTGCTGAATCCCCGGGAGGAAGGAAGGCAGGCAGGGTGGAGTCCCCCCATCCCTGAAGGGCCTCAGCCTCCTTTTACTGAGGAGGACACAGGCCCAGAGCACCTCCAGGGCGAGTCACAGCCCTGGGCCCTGGCACTGCCACAGCCAGCACCGGGCTGGGTGCTCCCTCCAGGCCACTTTCCTGCTCTGGGTGCACCCTGGGCTCCCACTTTCCTCTGCCTGGGAGGGGGCTGTGACATGCGCCCTGCCGTGAGGTGCCGTGGCAGGGGAGATGAGAAGACTGGAGGCTGAGGCGGCCACCTGCCTGTCCCTCTCAGAAACTGTCCTGGGGAAGTGCCCCATCCAGCCTGGGTCTCCCAGGGCCCTGTACAGGACATATGGTGGCATTCAGGGGACACGGACTTTGTGTCTGGGGGACTGGGTGCCTTTCTCTGCTGCCACTTCCTGGCTGTGTGACCGTGCCAGCTTGCCTAACCCTTCTGAGTCTCCATGAAAGGGGCCTAGTGCTGCCCGAGGGGCATTGCGACCCTGGCTCCACCCAGCCTGGGGAGTTGGTGGCCCTGGCCATTTGGGAGGAATGCCGAGATCACTGCAGGTCCTGACAGATGAAACCGTGCCAGAGAGATAGGAGCCAGCGCTTAGTGTGGGCGCCGTGGCCTCAGTGACGGAATCTGAGAGTGTGAACGGGACCTGCCTACCAGGCTGCTGGGTGGCTCAGGAGACCCCCAGGGGCAGCTGAGACTGAGAGTGGCTCATTCAGTCTCTGCCCAGCCCGCTTCAGGTGTCTCCTGGGTGGGACCCTGTGCTTGGGGCTACACCTCCTGTCCCATAGTCAGACTCTCCTACCAGAGAGGGTGGGGCCCCGCTGCTGCCAGGTGTCCCCCTGCTGGGTGTCCTGCCCACCCCAGGGAACCCTGCGGCCTGGTCCTTCCCACTGAGCCCCACCTAATAGGCCAACAGGGAGAGGGTAGTGGTTCTCTTTTCTTGCTCTTACGGCTTTACAAAAATGATAAGGGGAGGGCAAGGGATTGTTGTGCTATAAAAGGGGCTTTTGAATAATAATAGCAAATGAAGGCTACTGTTGGTGGGAGAGGCCTGGTTCTTGCTGAGGAAGGTAAAGAATGACTGATCAGCAAATCCAGTAGCAGGTAATCAGTTTACTAGTGGCCCGTTCCCAGGGAAGAGAACAGGACTGGGAAGACTAGGGGTGAAAGCAAGGTTTCAGGGCGGCCAAAGCAAGAGCAGCCGAAGACCAGGGTGGCCAGCCCCCAGGCAGCCTGCGGCCTGAGAGCCAGAGCCCCTGTGCCCCCGAGAGAGAGAGAGAGAGAGAGAGAGAGAGAGAGAGAGAGAGACCTTTGTTCTCAGGAGTACATAGTTGGTGGGATAGGAAGGAAAAAAGTTACGTACTGATTAACGGGTACATGTGGCGGCCCCTTTCCTGGGGGGACGTGACTACCCAGACTTAGGGATGTGTGGGGGTCTGTCAGCCCAAATCCTTATTCTGCTCCAGACTCCACTTGTTCATCTTGTTGTAAAACAAATACGTGACAGGAGGCAGTTAATTAAAATTGGGGCACTTTCCAAAGTTATTTATGGGCTCTGTCTGTAAGCATCAGGGACTACCTCGGAAAACAGATAGTGACCAGAGGTAGGCAGTTAACCAAGGTTGTTTTATGGGCTCCTTCTTTGGGCACCGGGGACCCTCTTCTGCATCCAGGCCCTGGGATGAAAGCACAGTTTCAAGGCCTTCTCTCCCAGACAGTGGAGACGCTACACAGAATTTAAGGACGTCCCTTCTTTCTTACTAACACGGTGTTTATGATGTTTGAACACCTGGCGATATTATCAGACCAGGCTCAGGACGGCTGAGTTAGTGTGTGAGACTTGTCTCTTCCCTCCTCCCTGCCTCAGTTTACTGTTCATTCTGTTACCCAATTGGTAAAAGACGTTTCCTGGCAACCGGGGTGCTGACTGCCGGCCGGTAACGGAATTGCAGTCTTGGGGTGCTCCCTGCGCTGCCTCCCGCTTCACTGCGAAGCTGCTGTGCACAGTAGCGCCTCACCTGCAGGCCCCCACTCAGTCTGCACAGCCGTCAGGGCGCAGGGGGTGCACGGAGGGGCACAGAGAGGTTAAGGGGCTCGCCCAGGGTCAGGCAGGGAGTGGTCGGCTGTGCAGTGTGGAGCCTGGAGCCAGAGGGACAGGGAGCTTTAGACCTGGGTGTGCAGGGCAGAGGCTTCGGGTGGGGAGCATGGTCCCGGGGGATGCGGGATGCAGTGTCTGGGCCCCTGGGGTCCTCTGGCTCTGTTCCACCTGTCACACACACCTGCTGTGGCCAGCGGGGGTGGGGGTGAGGTGGGGTGGGGTGGTGACAGGTGATTGCTACCTGATGAGTCTCTGGACCATCAAGGCGGAAGACAGTGCTCCTGGTAGGGCTCAGAGCCTGTGCAAGGGCTTGGAGGCCTTGGAGAGCTTGGCCTTGGTGGGGCCGAGTTCAGGGTGAGTGGCAGGAAGGGCCCCTGGTGGAGGAAGCTGTAGGAGAGGAGGATGGTGGGCTGAGGGTGGAGCCTCCGTCCTGTAGCAGGGGACCCGCAGGAAGCTGCGGTGTGCGCGTGAGCGGCTGGGATAAGACCCCTCTGGCTGCCGCAGGGTGGGAAAGGCGGCTGGCGCCAGGGCTGCAAAGCCGGCAGGATGGGCCTTCCTGAGGTTCGGTGCCCCCCAGGCTGAGGGCCCGACCCAGGATTTTACACACCAACAAGCGAATGCCAGGAGAGAGTGTCGGATGAGTGCTGGGCAGTGCCCGGGGCGCCCAGTGGCCTTGGCCGGCCAGGGTGGCCGCTTGCCTGGGACTGAGCGCCTTCAGCTGCCCCCAGGCCTGGGCCTGGAGCAACCTGGGCCCCCGGCTGCCTGTCTCTGCTTCTTCTTTTTCTTTCAATTTTTAATTTATTTATCCTTAAAGAGGAAGGGAAGGAGAGAGGGAGAGAAATGTCAATGTATGGTTGCCTCTGGTGCGTCCCCTGCTGGGAACTGGCCTGCAACCCAGGCATGTGCCCTGACTGGGAATCGAACCTCATTCCTCTGGTTTGCAGGCCCGTGTTCAGTCCACTGAGCCACACCAGCCAGGGCATCCTCTTCTTTTTTTTAAGATTTCGTTTATTTATTTAAAGAGAAAGGAAAGGAAAGAGAGAGAGAGGGACAGAAACGTCACTGTGAGAGAGAAACATTGACCTGTTGCTTCTCGTACACCCTTATCTGGGGACCTGGCCCACAACCTGTGCCCTGACTGGGAATCCAGCCGGTCACAGGCCGGCACCTGGCCTGCTGAGCCACCCCAGCCAGGGCTCTGCCTGCCTCCTCTTGTCCCGGGAGCTGTGCCCGTTGGCCTCTGCAGGCTGGGACTCCCCGGGGGTTCGGTCACACAGGCAGTGTGGCGGCCCATGCACCGAGCTCTTGGCAAAAAGGCCCTTCCCCTGTCCACAGCCTGGCCCACGCAGGGCACGTCACCGAGGGGGTCGTCTTCTGGGTGGGAGCAGACGCGCAGAAGGTGAAGGGTATTTCCTTGACCTTGGGGAACAGTGCGGGATGCCCCCCGTTACCCCTCATGTTTATCCTCTTTGTCCCCAGGGCCCGAGGCCGAGTGGGACCTGTGCTTTGACCAGGCTGTGGTCTTCATCGAGGACGCAATCCAGGTGGGCATTGTCTGCTCCTGCTGCCGCAGCTGGGGCGTGTCAGGGGCTGTGGGGACTGGCCAGTGGCCACCCTGACGGTGCCCTCGCTCCTCACCATCCTGGGGCCGGAGCCAAGGTCCGCAGACCATGGGGTCAGCACCACCTTGATGGCCGGGCCTCCGGCACAGCCTCCTCGAGTCCGCCCCAGCGGCGGGTGCTGGGAGCCGATTCGAGCCCCTGGTTGTTGGCTCTGCGGGGTTACCGGCTCCCGCAGACCTGCTGCCTGCCACCGGTCCCAGGTACTGTGGAAGGTCCCTAAGATGTCAGGGCTGTCCCCTGCCTGCCGGTGACGTGCAGGCTCAAGTGGGAAACTAGAACTTGGAAGTGAGCAGTGTTCCACCTGTGAATCAGGCTGGAGTGTCCTGGGGGTGACGTGGGTGAAGTCGGGAGGGCCTGGCACAGAGAAGAGGGCCTCGGGGCCACACTGAGGGCCCAGGTATGCGCCCAGAGCAGGAGTGTCCCCTCGGTGGCCGGACGACCCCAGCAGCAAAGCACCGGGGGGACTTTTCTGGGCCGTGCTGATCGCCTTGCCCATGTGCTGGGGGGAAGCTCATCCCGTGACTCAGCCTGTGTCCCGCCTTGGGCCTGCACGCGGCTGGCTGTGCTGTGTGGCACCGAGGGGACCACGCTGACCCTCCCCTCTGTGACCGTTCACTTCCAGTACCGCTCCATCAACCACCGCATGGACGCCGGGTCATTGTGGCTCTACCGCTGGTATTACTCAGGCACGAGCCAATGGTGAGTGCGCCCGTGGGGGCGGGGTTCCCGAGGCCCTGCTGGGGTCGGGCAGGCTGGTCCCGGGCGGCAGGTGCCCTGTCCCCTTGGTGGAGAAGGTGCTGCCTCCTGCCTTATTGGAAAGGAGCCCGCCAGTGGACAGAAGGGCTTCTCTGGTGAAGGCTCTGGTCCAGAACCTTCTGGTCAGCCATGGCAATTGAGTTTCTATCTGATCAGTGTTACCTGACCGTGGGGGTGGCCGCAGACCGGGCCCTGCGGTCCCGCCCTGTCCTGCCGCCCAGTGCGTGTTCTGTCCGCTGGTCTGTTCTTCGGCCCAGAGTGGGGCTGGTTCTCACCTTTTAACCCTTTTCCGGCCCCTTCCCAGGATTCTGAGCTTCATCATTTTCTTGATCCTGTCTTTGGCTTTTATCGAGACCCCTTCCTCGCTGACCAGCACCTCGGACGTCCGCTACCGCTCGGAGCCCTGGAACCCGCCCTGTGGCCTGACGGAGAGTGTGGAGGTCCTGTGCTTGCTGGTGTTCGTTGCTGACCTCTCCGTGAAGGTGCGGGGCACCCCCGGGGGCCACGACCAGGACCCAGTGCTCCCCGGCCCCCAGCCCAGCTGCTGCTTTTCTGAGTCATTTTGAAGGCCCTGGAGCTGGCTGCCTTTTCTCCTGCCTGTACCCACGGAACAGGGGCCTCCATTCCGGAGACTTCTGGGCCTCAGGGTGGAGGCTGTGTCTCTCCCAGAGGGTAGGCTGAGTTGAGTGGAGAGTCAAGGGCACACGGCCTTGGGTGTGGCAAGGGCCTGGCAGTGAGGAACCGTCCCACCCAGGCCCACCTCCGCCCCATACCCCTCCCCGCACCATGCCCCGCCCCCTCCAGGGTGGAGGGGCACCGGGAGCGCTGGGCTCAGCGGCCCCTGAGCAGCAGCTGGAGGCAGGCCCTGCCCTGCTCACTTGACCTTCTGAGTCAGAGCTTCAGGGCCCGAAGGTGCTCTGTTCCTTTCCTCAGAGGAGCCCAGTGCTCCTGCCTGCAGGCTCCGGTCACTGGTCCTGAGCGTCAGTGCTGCTGTGGGAGGGGCCCCTGGTTGCTGACCAAGGACACGGGTGCCTGCGTGAGGTCCCGGAAGTTTCCTGTTTCTTGTTTCAGCCTGCGGTGTGGCGGGGAGGCGGGGGTTCAGACTGGAACTGAAACTGGTGCACGTACTCATTAGGGCGGCTTGAATGGTCGGGGTTCTTGACAGGTGACAGAGTGCATTTGTGTCCTCAAGCCGTGGCCTCTGAAGGCGCTAGCTAGCAACCGTGGGAAATAGCAGTCAGGTGAAGACAAAACCCCACCCTCCCGGGACTCGGAGCCTCGCGCCCGGGCCCCCTGCCTCGTGCCTGGGCCCCCTGCTGGGTGACACCCGCTCACCCTGTGTCCTCGTCTTTCCCACTGGAATCTCATGCCTTTGCATTTTGCTGCACAAGCTCAGCTGATGGTTGGACTAGCAGAGTGGGAAACTGGTGCGTGCCTGAGCTGACGTGTGCCAAGCCCAAGGTCACCAATTGCCTGAGGTCCCTAGGGGCTGCAAGTTTCCTGCTCCCCAAGTTGCGTGGAGACCCCACGGCTCCCTGGGGTGCTCCGTGCTCCCACCACCTGGCCTTGCTGCACACACCCATGGCTTTGACTGGCCTCGGGGCCTCCTGCTCACCCACCTTCTCCCTTGCAGAGCTACCTGGTAGGGTGGGCCCAGTTCCGGAGGAGTCTCTGGCTGCTGGCCTACCTCGTGGTGCTGGTCGCGTCTCTCCTGGACTGGACGGTGTCGCTGGGTCTTGTCTGCCAGGAGGTAGGTGGGGAGGTGGCTCTGAGATGGGAGCGGGGACTTCGGGACAGGCCTCAGGGCAGAGCTGCCAGGTGAAGGGCGGGCGGGGTCCCGAGGCCCTGCACCCACCTGCCCCACTCTGCCTGCCTGCACAGCGGTCCGTCGGGTGTTGCCTGGGGAGCTGTCCCCACCCTGCAGGTGACACTGAGGCCCGGCGAAGGCCTGAGGACCTGGGAGCCTCACTCCTTTTCATCTGACTCCTCGACTGGCAGGGTCCCCCCTGAAAGCACCACCCCAGGCCTCACCCAGCCACACGCCCCAAACTGGTATCCAACAGCAGAACCCCCAGTGAGCGGGCGGCCCAGCCTCTCTGGCGGCAGCACCTTGGTCTCCTCTCGGAGTTCTCGGGAGCACAGTCAGTTTGGGGGCACAGGACTCAGAAGCCCAGACCCCCCCAGGTGCTTTAGTGGAGAGAGTCGGACATAGGGACTTCAACAGGTGCTGAGAAACTGAAAGAGCCTAGAGACCCAGCGGAACTCAGAGCACCAGGACCCCCCTCCCACTGGCTCCTGGAGCTGGGACCTGTCCTCTGACCTCTGGGGTGGGGGCGCCGCCAGAGGCTCCATGAGGTCGGCTCTGGGAGCTCGGCAAGCCCCTCCAGGCTGGCTGTCTTGGGCGCTGTAGGAACAGAGGGGTCCCATGTCCCTCCTCCTGCCTCCCGGTCCCTCCAGGGGCCGAGTGGAATGGGCAGCAGCTGCTGAAGGAGGAGTACCAGTGGGGGGGGGGTCCCAGCACCCACATGCCCCCTCTTGCTGCCCGGGGAGCAGCGAGAGCCTGCACGTTCCCCTAACTCGGAGCTGGCCTCCTTCCCACAGCAGAGGACCCCCGCCCCCAGAGGGAGCTGAGACGGCCCAGCCTCCACTGGCTCCTTTCTGAGGGACAGTCATTGTGCCCAGCCTACCTGCCACTCGAATGTTCTGTGGCCTTGAGCCTAAGTTGTGCAGCCCACTGGCCCGGCCGGTGAGGGATGGGGGGGAGGAGCCTGGTTCCTGTGACACGCACCCCCATGTCACTGCTGCTTGTGGTTCTCGCTGAAATTTACGTCTTCCTCCTGCTCCCCAGCTTGTCTGCATCCTCTACCTGGGCCGGGGGGGTCTGTGTCCTCCATGGTCCTTCCTCTTAGATCACTGGCTCTTTCTGATAGTGTTCGCTCTCAGACGTGCCTGGGAGGGCCTGTGGCACAGGTCCCTGGCCCCTCTGGGCAGGAACGCCCCAGCCTGCCCTCGGCACCTGATTCTTTTCTGGAGCAGTTAGGGTGTATTCTGGGTGGAAGCACCTGCTTCAGCAATGGGTAGTTCTGACCAGCAGGGGGCGTGTCACACCCCCCCCCCCAGTCAACCTGCTGTTTCGAAAGACAGGATACTCCTTAGGAAGTGAGTCTGGGATTGAGAGCGTGGATTAGAGGGTGAACTTGGGGGTCCAGAGCATGTGAATGTGGTACCAAAAACCACAAAGCCACCAGGGCGTCAGGCTTGAGTGGTGGGGGCTCAGGGGCCAGGCATGGAGATGGCCTGAGGTGCCAGGTGGAGGTCAGGCAGCTGGTCCTGCCTGGCACCAGTGGACAGAAGGCTGTTCTGGGCTCTGAGGCCTGGAGGAGGTCACCGTGGGTGGGTCCAGTGCTCTGGACGGGTGGCCTGACTGGCTGGGACAGGAGCAGGAATGCTTGGGATTGAGGGAAGGGTGGCTGCCATTGTGTGTGAGTGGAGGAGGGGGAGAAGGAACCTGAGGGAGATGCGGGAGGCTGGGGGCGCAAGGACAGAGGGGGCGCAGGGCCCTCTGACAGGTGAACAAGGGGGAGGAGAGGCTGTGTGTGCTGTGCCCATGTGCACTGGGGGAGGGTGCGGGCTTCCCTTGCAGCTTGCTTCTCTGTGGGAGGGCGAGGCCCAGAGCACAGAGAGGGCGGTGGGGGGAGGGGTGGCTGAGGAAAGACAAGGCACAGCACAGCCCCCAGAGGGTGGGACAGCCCCCAGGGCAAGAGCCACGTGGAGGCTGCTCTGAGCGGTGTGCTGGCCCCTCTGGGAGGGACACAGCCTCTGCAGGGCTGGGCAGGCTGGGGCAGCGAGGACATCGGAGCTGGAAGCCGGGGCTGTGTCAGGAGTGGGGAGCAGCTGGGTCTCTGCCATTTGCATGGCTCTGTGGCAGGTGCGGGTGGGACCCTAGAGCCCCGGCATTTAGGGTCCTGGCCTCTTGCAGCCCCTGCGGCTCCGGCGGCTCCTGCGGCCCTTCTTCCTGCTGCAGAACTCCTCCATGATGAAGAAGACGCTCAAGTGCATCAGGTGGTCGCTGCCTGAAATGGTCAGGTGGGCTCTACTGCTCCCTGCCCTGCAGTCTGGGCCCCTGGGCTCCTCCCCTGGGTGTCTGTGGCCGTCAGGCCCTGGGTCCTGGCACTCCCTCAGCGGCCCCGCATGGCTTGGACAGCCTCTGAGCCCGGATGCCCCACCCCATCCCCACTGTGGCCGCTCCCCTCCCTCCTGCTCGCCTTCCACCCCACCCCCAGTTGTCCCCCTGCTCCCAGTCCCCTCATGCCTGACCCCGGCCGTCTGGCCAAGGTGCATGGAAGTGGGCTTTCCTCTCAGAGTCCCTGGGGTCCTTGGACTCCGTGGTCATGTTTCTGCTAAAGACAGAGGCCTGGTGAGGGCTGGACCCCACTCTGAGTGTGTGGCAGCTTGTGTGGGGAGGGGCGCCAGGAGGCGGCTGCAGGGAACCTGCGGTGGCCGGCCCCGGGTCCCGCCCCGTGTGCCGTGTGGGCGTCTGCCCTGAGCTGAGCACTGTGCCCCCCCCCAGTGTCCTGCTGCTGCTGGCCCTCCACCTGTGTGTCTTCACCATGTTCGGGATGCTGCTCTTCACGGGCGAGCAGGTAACCCCCTCCGCTGTGCTCCGGCTGATTGGAGGGCCGGCCCTTGGTGGGCAGCCCTTGGGCCAGCAGAGATGAGGGCTGCCTACCCAGCTTGCAGCCGGGGCGAGTGGGGGGCCCCCTGCAGTCAGGTGTCTCTCTTCAGATGGCCACTGTGTCCCGCAGCTGCCCTGCCTGGCCCCCGTCCGCCCCGGCTGCAGGGAGGCGCTGCCTCTCTCTGCTGCCCCCGTCACCGACTGGGCTTTCTCTGCTCCCCTCCTAGCCAGGCCCCTCAGGTTGGCACCTGGGTGTCTGCGATGGCCCCACCGCCTCGCCCCTCTCAGCCCCTGTCCACCTGCCCAGTAGGCACCTCTCCCATGTCCCTCCTCCAGTGTGGGCTTTGCTCTCCCCGCCCGGGGCCCCTCCCTTCCCGCCCCTCACTGCTTCCCGGCCCCCTGTCGGTTTCAGCCTTGCCCCCCATCTGCCCGCCTGTGGTCCCGTGTCTCTCGCTTTCTGGCCAGGCCCACCGCCCTCCCAGGGCTGACACGGCCCTGCCCCTCTGTCCTGGGACTGTGGTCGGCGCCCAGCCAGGGCTGGTCTGTGTCAGGTTTGGGGCCGGGGCTGTGCCGACCGTGAGGAGAGACTGAGGACTGTCTCGTCTCACCGCCGGGTGGGAGGGGCCAGCTGTGTAATCGTGTGACTGTGTGCACATCTGGGTGTCAGGCAGCTGGGCTGAGTGGGGACCAGCCGGCAGAACCTCAGTCCTCGGTGGCCTCCGACCTGGCTGAGGTCACCGAGCCCAAGGTGGTGGGGTGGTCTCTCACCTGCAATCACTGTGTTCCGAGGGGCCTGGAGGGGTTGGCCCCTTAGTGGGTTTCCTTTTCTGCCCACAGAGGGGGCTGGGCTGAGGGAGTGCTTTTGGTGGGGGGCGGGGCAAATGGCTACACATCTCGGTCGTGGTGTCGGCCCAGTTCCCCCGCTGTCCAAGTTCAGAGGACAGGGTGACGCTGGCCAGTCTGTGTGGGCTCCTTGTCCCCGGCTCCCCATGCCCAGTGCAGCCCGGCCCAGCGAGCAGGCCAGGAACAGGTGCTCCCCGATTCCGCCTGGGGGGAGAGAGGGGCCGGGGAGCCCATGACCCACAGGGACCAGGGCCGTGAGTGCCCCACCCCCCAGCCTGAGTTCCCCTGAGTCCTGTGAGCCCCCACCCGGCTCTGGGGCCCGCAAGGCCCCTGATGGAGAAGGGGCGGCCGTCCCAGGGCGACCGCTCCAGGGCCAGCTCTCCACCCACCAGGCGATCTGCGGCGGGGTTCCCAGGAGCCCGGCTTGCCTCACAACGCACACCTGGCCTTGTGTGCCATCGGGCTGAGGGCACCCCGCTGACCCCTGCCTGTGGTCTCCTGGTCCCTAGGCCCTGACACTGTCACCCGGGCGCACCCAGAGTTTTTCCCCACTGTTCTGGGCAGGCCTGCCCCGGGGGCTGGTGTCCGTGCAGCGGGCGGCTTCCCAGGACGGTGGCTCTTGAGTTCCGTCCTGTCTGGCCTTGAGCTCAGTGCCTGCTGGGAAATGAGGGCGGATGCGGGACAGTGGCTGAGTCCAGGGCGGTGGTCCCTCTGGGTGGGGCGGAGGTGTGTGCGGCTCCTCAGCGCTGCTGCGTCCACTCTCAGCAGGATGACGGGCAGGACAGGGAGCGGCTGACCTACTTCCGCAACCTGCCAGAGGCCCTGACTTCGCTGCTGGTGCTGCTGACCACGGCCAACAACCCCGACGGTGCGTGCTCGGCGGGGCCGGGCCCAGGCCGGGCGTGGGGAGGGTTGGCTGCTGCCCCGTGGAGAACCCGCTGGGGGCGCCTGAGGCCTCCTGCTGGGCAGGTGGACAGCCTTGGATTCCCTCCCTCCTGTCCGACCTTCCTTCCTTCCTTCTTTCTTTTTCTTTCATTTGTTCTTTTTTCTTTTTCCTGCTTCTTCTGCCTCCTCTTCCCCTTCTCTCCTGACGTCGGAAGCTAGAAATGCACGGTGTTCTTTATGCGGTGATGAACGGCCATGTGTTCAGGGGTCCCCCGACCCCTACCCAGCAGTGTGCAGGTCTCAGGCGGCCATGGTGCTGCCACTGGGCTGCCGGTGGGGTCCCGTCCGCTCTCGCCAGAGGTGTGGCCAGGGTAGGGCACTCTAGTCCTCGAAGGCTTGCTTGTGGCCTGCCCGCCTAGGCTGGGCTTTATCTCGGGCTCAGGGGTGGTCACCGACCATGGAGACCTTCCCAGGAGGGCAGCCCCTGGCCTCTGTACTCAGAGGAGTGCGGTGGGCCCCCGGGCACTGTCCCTGTGTGTCCCGAGAGTCCCCGAGTGTGTTGCCTAGGGGAGGGCCAGACTTGCAGTCTGTAGGGAGGGGGTGGTCTCCGGGCAGATTCTGGCTCAGCACAAGGGATGTGTCCTTGAAGGGTAGTGAGCTCCCCGTCATCAAAGGCGTGTGAGCCGAGGCGTGAGGATCGGGGCTGGGCCCAGAGGCCTTCCAGCTGTCCCACTCAGGCCCCGTCTAGGGAGAAGGCCGAGGCCACGCGGCGGTGGGAGCGCGTGCGGTGGGGAGCGTGTTTCAGGTTCTCCGATCTCCTTCCCAGTGATGGTCCCCGCATATTCCAAGAACCGTGCCTACGCCATCTTCTTCATAGCGTTCACCCTGATCGGTGAGTCCAGGCGGGTCTGGTGGGGGCACCAGGGTTAGGGTCCGTCCCCTGTGACAGGGTCCTGAGTGCTGCCCATCCCTGTGACCTCGCCTCACATTGGCCCCCTGACCCTGTGACCTCGCCTCACATTGGCCCCCCCATCCCCATCACTTCCCCTCTGTGTGGCCCACTCTGCAGTTTGCAGCCTGTGACCACTGATGACCTCTGTCCTCAGAGCCCACGGCTGGTCAGGCGGGGGGCACTGGCCTTGTGTAGACCGGGACAGGGAGGCTGGGCGAGCGATGTGTCCAGGCCACACTCTCTGCCCTGTGATCGTCAGGGTCCTTTCTGCCGGTGCCGTGGGCCTTGTCATGGGGCCTCTGCGCCTCCGGGCACTGCCCTCGGCCCAGGCCCCCAAAGCTGCTGCCCCCACTGACCGTGGTGTTTTCCTCTTGAAGGAAGCTTGTTTTTGATGAACCTGCTGACGGCCATCATCTACAATCAGTTCCGGGGCTACCTGCTGGTGAGCCACACTGCCCTCCCTGGGTGCCAGGTGGGGGTGTGTCCCCCCCAACCCTGGTTGCTGCACTGCCCTCTGGCTCCCTCTAGTGGATTAGCGGGAGCTGTGCACGTCCTGCTCCCTCCTGGTCCCCACCTGTCCCCCCAGGGGTTCCCTCCCTTGCCCCCCTTCCTCTAAGGGAAGCTTGCAAGGAGATTGCAGTTCCCAGGGCCCCTGACCCCAGACCCTCAGTGGGAGAGCCAGGGGCCCCAAGGGCACTGAGAAGGGACCCCTGTCCCCCCGTCCAGACCCAGCGGCTGGCGGTCTTGCTCCCTTCTCTGTGACTGTGCTTTGGTGCCTGCTGAGCCAGCGGCTGTCCCGGGCTGCGGGTGGACAGGGCACCCCCAGCGGCTGCTGGGGCCCCGGGGCTGGCTGTCCTGGGTGGGTGGAGTCGGGCCCCTCAAAGGTGCCCTCCCTACAGAAGTCTTTCCAGGCCTCACTGTTCCGGAAGCGGCTGGGGACCCGGGCTGCCTATGAGGTCCTCTCCTCAGCATCAGGGGGGTGAGTGCAGGGCTCTGGGCCCCCTTCCCTGGGGATGGGGGGGCTGCTGCGGGGGGGCAGCGGTGCTCCCCGGGTGCTTCCTCAGCACCGCTCTGCCGAGACGCCTGCCGATTCCACGGCTCCGCCCGGTCGCAGCCTCCAGGGTTCCCACGTCTGAGTTAACTGCGTGTGTGCTCGTGCCCCTCTGAGATCCTGGGGTAGCAGCGGCCCGGCGGCTGTGCCTGCTCCCCCACCAGCACCCTGTGCCCTAAGTGCGTGTCAGGGACAGAGGGACCTGGGCCACGTCCCCACTGTGCCCCTGGTTCGGAGGCCGTGTCAGCCTGGAAGGTCCCAGAAGCGCAGCTCCTGAGCGCTCTGCTTCCTCCTTGCTGAGGCGGCAGGGTCTCGGGATTTCAGACGCTGGGATGGCCTGTCATCGCCCGGGGCTGTGCAGTGCACTGTGGCTGGAGGTCGGGACACCTGGGCACTGAGCCCCTGGGCTCACAGGGTGTGGGTGTCTCCCCCCCGCAGAGCCGGGGTGAAGGCCCGGGACCTCCTGCCGGTGCTTCAGAAAGTCCAGGTGGACGGTGCCCGGAAGCAAGCCGTCATGGAGGTGCTCTGCCCTGCCCTCCCCGGCCTCCCTGCCCTCCCCGGCCTGTGCCTCTGGGCCCCTCCCTGTGGTCACGGGGGCCTGCAGTCCCCTTTCCAGGACTGGGGGTCATTTCAACGAAGCCGGGGTGGGGCCAGGCTGGGTGGGGCCTGGGGTGGTGCCCCCTGCCCCGGACCCCCTGCCCAGCCGGCCCGCCGACGGCACCCCCACTCTCCAGAGGGTGCTCTCCCACGGCAGCGGTCCACTATCGACCCGCGAGTTCCAGAAACTCTTCAACGAGTTTGACAAGAGGGCGACCAAAGAGGTAACTGGGGCAGGCGAGAGCCCCCCCAGAGCCAGGGCTGGGGCCACCTGCGGCGAGTGGGGGGTTTGCGGTGTCTGGGTGGTGGTCCCCACAGGTGACCCCGTGACCAGTGCCTGCGCACGCTGGCCCGGGGGCTCTGGCCCCAGGGTGGCACCTGGGGATGGAGACGGTGGCAGGCGGCAGCCGGGGTCCGACCTCCCCACGCCCCCTGGAGAACCTCCCCCAGGGGTTTCTTGTCTCCGCGACAGAGCCGGCCCTCTTCCCGGATCTGCCCCCGGGAGGGTCTGAGTGTGTCTTGAAGCCTCGGTCCCTTGTCCCCACACTGGTTCCTGGTCACCAGGGGGCCTTGCCCTCCAGGTCAGCACCGTGTCCGGGTGCCCCGCTGCCTGGGTGTTAGGTGGCGGGTCCCGGGGGTGCTCGGAGGTGCTGGGGGATAGCTGAGGTGTCCCTAGGCAGTTTGGGGGTGGGGGTGGGTGTAGGGCAGTGGTGGAGTCTGACGTCTGCTGGCCGGACTCCACACGGCCCTGTGTCATCGGCTCAGCGGTGTGACAGGGCCGCAGCCTGGGGGCTCGGACAACAGGGTCTGCTGCCTCCTGGTCCAGGGGCTGGGGGCCGGAGACGCAGCTGTCCCCAGGGCCTCCCTCCTGGGTGTGCAGACGGCCACCTGCCCCCGTCCTGACCCAGTGTCCTCACGTGGCCATTCCTCCGCGCGTGTTTGTGTCCTGACCCCTGTTCTTATGAGAACACCAGTCACATTGTGGCCTTTTACCTAACACCTCCTTGAAGGCCCTTTCTCTGAACACAGGCATGTGCTGAGCTCCTGGGGGACAGGTCCTGAATGGAGGAATTTGGGGGACACAGCCCACCACAGTGTCGGCGCTTCAGTGCGCATGTCCGCCTCCGCAGCCCCGGCTCCTGTCGGACTTGTTCTAGGCTCCCTGAACTCCTTCCAGGTCGCCTGAGCCAGGCCCTGCTTGGCTGCGGTCTTGTGGGGCGTCCCTTCTCAGCAGTGTCCTTCCGTGGGGCGTGGGGGATGGGCGTGGGGACACCAGCTCTCCATGGCGTCCGGGTCTCGAGTCCAGAGCTGTGACTCGATGTGGGAGCTCGGGTCCAGAGGTCTGCGGGGCTGTGTTCATGGCAGGGGAGGCGGACGTCTGCTGTGTGGCCGGGGCAGCCCACCTCCGCGCCCCTTGGCCCCCGCGGCTCCCCCCACGGTCCCACTGAGGAGGTCTCACCTTGGGCTCACCACTGGGACAGAGTGGGCGTGGCTGGGACGTGGGGGCCAAGAGGCAGGAGATCGAGAAGCAGCACAGGCGCTGGGGTCCCGGCTGTGCAGCCCAGGTGTCCGTGTGTCCCCGAGACCCCAGGTGTGATGTGCGCAAGCCTGAGGTGATGCCTTTCCCCTACACCCCTGTGCGGGGTGACTCGACTTCCCCTCTGCATGTCCTCCCTCTCGTGTCCTTCAGGGCCCCTGTGTTCTAGTGGGACAAGTGTGCTCTCTCTGCCCTTTTGGTGTGGCGGCCTCAGGCCGAGGGTGGGTCGTGGGCCCGGAGGTGTGATTGCTGTGAGGGGCACCGAGTGTCGAATCTGACCGGGTGTGGATGAAATGGCCCCGTGCGGCTAGAGGCCCCTGCTGGGACCACGTGGGTGTGGGCACCTCCCGCCCGCGCAGAGGCACGGTGGGGCGTGCCCCGGCTCCTCGCCCCCTCTGCGCAGTGGCGGCCAGCCTGCGCCTCTTCCCAGCCCCTCCACGGCGTGGTTTAGCCAGCTCGCCCTCCGCCACTTTCCACGCCTGCCGTCCAGTGCCTGTCCCCACTGCGCTGAGCTCTCGCAGCTGCCAGTGCGGGACGCACTGTGCCTTGTCACTTCCCATGCTCCACGCTTCGCGGGCCCCTGGGACCCCGGACGAGAGGGCGGGGGCTGCACTGGGCCATTGGCCCCGTCTCTGAGCGTGCGTCCCCTGCAGCACCCGCCGCCGCCCGAGTACCAGTCCCCATTTCTGCAGAGCGCCCAGTTCCTCTTTGGCCACCACTACTTTGACCACCTGGGGAACATCATTGTCCTCATGAACCTCGTGTCCATCTGTGTGAGTGCGGGCGCGGGCGGCTGCGGGAGGTGCCTCGCTCCCGCCCTTCCTCCGGACGGCCTGTCCGCTGCCTGGCGTGTGGAGCCGGCCCAGCGCCGGGCCGGGCCGGTGAGCCCCTCTCGCTCTGGCTCTGCAGGTGTTTCTGGTGATAGACGCTGACGTCCTGCCCCATGACCGAGACGACTTCGTCCTGGGGGTGAGCTCAGACGCCGCTCAGCCGACCGGCCTCTGCTGGGGCGACGGAGCAGAGCGAGGGGCTCCGGGCTCCGGGCTCCGGGCTCCTGGGCGGCATGTCCGTTCTTGAGCTGGTGATTGGTTCTGTCGCAAGGTCGCCGGCACTGGGGGTGGGAGGCTGTGGGAGGGGGCGGTGAGGGTTCAGGAGCCCGAGTGGCCGGCGGCCCCAGGGCCGGGCCCTGAGGCCTGCTGGCTCCTCTCAGATCTTCAACTGCGTCTTCGTCCTCTACTACCTGGCGGAGATGCTGCTCAAGGTGTTTGCACTGGGTCTGCCGGGCTACCTGTCCTACCCCAGCAATGCCTTCGACGGGCTCCTCACCGTCATTCTGCTGGTGAGGCCTGGGATGGCCGCTTCGGCCTCTCCGGGGGGAGCAGGGCGCTGGGGAGGGTGGCGTGCCAGTCCAGGTCGGGCCGCCCCAGGGCCCGAGGACCACAGGGACGGGGCTCCTGCCCCCAGTGACGGAGGGGCCAGCACTCCCTGCACTTCCTGCTGGGCGGGCAGCTGGTGGGCTCCAGGAGTTTCTGCAGCACTGGGTGCCCACCCCCGAGGGGGACCTGACGGAACCTACCACCCTCACCGGCCGCCCCAGCCCCGGGTGCAGCCTCAGACACCTGGAAGGACAGTGGGACCTTGGTGTGGGCGGAGGGAGGGCAGGAGCGGGCTCAGGGGGTGTCTGTCTCCTTTCCCCAGGCAGTGGTGGGGGGGGTTGCGCCCTGCGTGTGTCCACAGCAATATCCGGTGACACGTATTCGTATTTGACTGAGGGGAGCCACAGGGTCCTCGGGACAGCAGCGGAGACCGCCTGAAAAAGGCCTCTCGGCCCCTCCTTGACCCAGTGGCTGCTCCCTCGCCCGGGGCGAGCGAGAGCCTTGACTGCCCCTGAGACCAGGGTGTTTCGTCAGCTTTGAGAAGTCCCAGCGTTGGGGACTGATCTGTAGGGACGATGGTTCACCTGAAGCCACCCAGGGTGACACTGCTGTAGTGACGCCCTCTCTTCTTCTGTGACTGCAGGTTTTGGAGATCTTGACGCTGTCTGTGTACGGGTTCCCGCACCAGGGCTGGTAGGTGACCAGAGGACCGAGGGAGGCTGGCGCCCCAGGGACGAGGTCCTGCTGCCCGGCCGGGCCTGCCTGCTCAGGCTGCCAGGACTGGAGGGTGAAAAGCCCTGCCTTTGGGTGGGCCGGTCGGAGCTCTGCCCCCACCCCGGGGTTCCTCTAGCCTCTCCTGACTCGCCTTCAGAGCCCAGTCCCCAGAGCGGTGGTGGGAAGCTGTCAGGGCGGCCCCCTGCCCCCCGACGCCACGGGCCCATCCGCACTGCCAGGTGCAGCGTGCGGACCGGACGCCCTGTGGGTGGGGCTGGGAGGCCCCGTGACTTTGGGCAGCGACGGGCCCTCGGCAGCTGCTCCTCCCTCTGCTGTTCAGGCCCCGGGTTCTGGCCATTGGGGTCCCAGGGACCTCTAGCGGCCACCGAGTCGTGCTGCCCAGAACACGGCTGCCCCGGGAAGCACATGCCAGCCTTGGTCTGTGGGTCCCCTGTGGTGCCGAGTGGCGGGGCTCGAGATGGAGTGGGCCTGAGAGCCTCTTGCTGTTTGGGCTGCTCCGTGGGAGCCGCTGGGAGGGGTGTCTCTCGGGGAGACTGGCGGGGCCGGTGCAGCCTCGGGGGCCAGTCTTCTGCCTGGACAGCTCTCCTGTGCATGACTCCCTCTCTCGTCTGAGAATTTGGGGCTGCGTTCTGGGTGGGCCGGGGTACGCTCAGACAGGGATGGTGAGGCCATGAAGGACTCCTGGGGGGGATGGGGGACAGGAGGTGGGGTCAGAGGAAGTGGTCAAGGGTCGGGACGAAGGGGTGGGGTCGGGCCCAGTCTCCCCATCCTGCTGGGCCCTGGGCTGGGGTGTCCTGTCTCCGCACCTTCAGTGGTGCCGGGTGTGACGGGGGGCGGCGGGTCCTGCTGCACCCGGGGGGCCTGGGCTGTGGACGGAGCCCTGACCACTGTGGCCCGGGGCGGCGGGCGAGGCCTTCAGGCTGTGCCGTCGTCCCGAGGAGGGTTTCCGGCTGGCCTGGGCTCTGGGGCGAGTTCCCGCCGCTCCCCCCGCGCTCTCTGCGCCTCTGTCTTCCCCACATGCGTCCTGTCCCCTCGCGGCGGGCTCGCAGGCCTGTCCCGACCCCTCTCGGGCATGTCGCTGCAGGAAGCCGGAGACGAAGGGCCTGCTGTCGCTGTGGGACATGGTCCGCCTGGTGAACATGCTCATCGTGTTCCGGTTCCTACGCATCATCCCCAGCATGAAGGTGTGTGGCGGTCGGTTGGGCCTGGGGGCCTGGGCGGGGCGGGGGCTGGGCCTTCGGCGTGGGCCCCTTCGTGGCTCCTGGTCCCGAGGGGTGAAGGTGTGGCTGAGCGCAGCACTGGCTCGGGGCCCTGGGAGCAGGAAGGGGGCGGGCGACCGCCTCTGAGCCTCGGCATCTCTTTACGTGCTGTCACGAGTGACTGCCCTCGATGTCACAGAGGTGGGGGTCCCTGCTCTGTTTCCCCAAGAGCCATGGTGTCAAGGAAGTGTTCAGGTGCTTCCCCCGCCCGTGTACACCTGTGCTTCCAACCGAGCGGTCGTCTGTCCCATCCGGGTCCCCTGGGACCCATAAGCATTAACTGTCCGAGGACAGCTCGAGGGCCTGGATGCCAGCGGCGGGCTGCCCTGCATGTGTGATCACACGTGCACAAGAACACATTTGGGCACGGGAGCCATACACATGATTGCAGCCCACCTAATCACACACACGTGACCACACATAATAACCCCCAGATTTGCAACCATACCCACTACACACATGCAATGACATGGTCACACATGTGATCATATGTATCAGCTACACACATGCACACAGCTAGCAGTGCATGTACACACAGTGCATGTAACAACCACATAATGCATGCAGTCACACCTGTGTATGCACGCACACCCACCACATACAAGTCACATGCATGTACACATCCCACACATGCACACACAGTCACATGCATGTGCACTCATGGGTTTCCGCCTGTTGGCCCCCAGTGTTGAGATACTCGTATGTCAGGTGGGGTGAGTGGCCTCAGGCTGTGTGTGGCGAGCAGCCCCGTGGCCGGGGCCCCTGGCTGTGTCCTGAGGCCCCTTCCTCAGACTCGGTCACCCCAGACCCACAGCACTGACCCAGCCTCTGCCGACCAGTGGCCAGTGCACCTGTGCTGCCCACGGGGCTTCGCCACAGGGATGCGCAGTCCAGACCCACCTGAGGCTGGGCGGGCGGGCTGTCTGGTGGGGGGGGTGAGTGAGCATCCATGGGTGGGGGTGTTGGGGTGGCGTGAGTACAGGTGTGTGGTCGGTGGTAGTTCACCGACCTTTCTGGGGGGGGAATGAGTAGGGTTGGCACCACCTCCGTGGGGACCACAAGGAACGGGCTCCGCTCTCTCCCCGTCCTCAGCTGATGGCCGTGGTGGCCAGCACCATACTGGACCTGGTCAGAAACATGCGGGCTTTCGGTGGGATCCTGGTGGTGAGTCAGGCGCCTGTGCGGGCCGTGGCGGGAGCTGGGCTCCGCGAGGCCGAGAGACCGGCGCTGGGCTGGCTGCTCGGGAGGGGGAGGGTCCCTGCGAGGGCAGTGGCTGGTGTAGGTGTGGGAAGCACAGGCCTGGGGCAGGACCCAGAGAGCCTTCCAGTCACTTCCAAACCCCTCCCATCCTCTGGTCAGGGGACCCATGGAAAACTGAGGAAAAGATGGGTAAGAGGCCCCAGGGCCCCCAGATGAGGTTTTGGTCTGCTGTCCTTTCCTGGGGGGACTCCAGGAACTCACGGAAAAGTGATGCCCCCACCCCTACCCCGGGGTCAACCTTCCTCAGCTGCCGGTGCCTCTGCTGTGGCCTGGCCTGGTTGGCGGCTGTGAGTGGCTGGTGCCGTTCCAGGCCCAGGGCCAGTGAGCAGGCGCCGCGGTGCCGAAGTGATGAGCTGGAGAGCCCGGCTGTGTGGGTGAGGCCGCGGGTGGCCTTTCTGCTCTTTACTTTGAGCCACACATGGGGGCTGGGCAGCCACCTGGAAGGGGAGCTGCCTGGGAGAGGAGCCCCAGGCCCTGCAGCTTCTGCTTGTCATAGGAGGCTGGGAATGGAATCTCACATCGTACACGGCCCCCCTTCCCCAGAAAGACCCCCGTTTGCATATTGGAGGAAAGTGAGGCCCAGAAAGGGGCTGGGTTAGCCCCCTTCCCCCTGCATGTTAGGGACAGGCCAGGGACAGCAGCAGCCCCACCCCAAGGCTGCCGGGTGGTGCTCCTGGGTGCCCCCTCCTGGGGGACTTCCTCCCGGACAGGCCTGGCCATCCCCAGGCTTCCCTGGGACCAGTGTCTGGCCCCGCTGTGAGTTGCGTCCTCCTCACCTCTGCCCTGCCCACCTGTCCCGGGGGAGGAGCGGGCGGCCTTGGCTTTCCCAGCCTTCCCTGGGGCCAGAGGTCATCTCTGCGGCTCCCCCAGCGATGGCTCCCCCTCCTCCCCCCTGGCTGTCCTGTGCCTCTGGAGCAGGTTGGTGTTCAGGAGGGGGTGCCTGGGAGTGGGACCCCAGTGTTGGGGGCTGTGGCCGCGCTGGGAACCCTCGATGCCAGCCAGGCTCTGTGGTCCATCTGTGGTCTGCCTGTGGTCTGTCTGTGGACCGTCTATGGTCCACCTGTGGTCAGTCTCTCGGCCGTCTGTGGTCCATCTGTGAACTGTCTATGGACAGTCTTTTGTCCATCTGGATCGTCCATGTCCATCCGTGGTTCGTCTATGGACCGTCTGCGGACCATCTGTGGTTTGTGTGGTCCGCCTGTGGACTGTCTATGGACTGTGGTCCATCTGTGGTCTGTCTGTGATCGTCTGTGGACCGTCTACGGACTGTGGCCCCTCCGTGGTCCGTCCGTGGGCTGTGCTGACCAGTGGCCCTGCCTCCCCAGGTGGTGTACTATGTCTTCGCCATCATCGGCCTTAACCTGTTCCGGGGCGTCGTCGTGGCTCCTCCTGGGAACGGCAGGTGAGGCGGGGCCTGCAGGGGCTGAAGGAGCGCAGGGTGGCGGCGCGGGTCAGCTCCCAGGAGGGGCTTCCTGGTCCTTCCCTTTCTTCCTGCTTCCCCCTCCCCCGCCCGCCCCTGCCCCTCCCGCACTCCCTGGCCCACGTTGGGGTGTTCCCCAGGTCTGCCCAGAGCAGCCCTGCCCCCTCGTTGGACCCCCTGGGGCCCTGAGCCGGCACAGGGGGCTGTGCAGTGAGGAGCGACTGCAGCTGCTCCTGTGCCCCCAGCTCCCGCCTCCCTGCTGCCCTCACAGCACCTTCGGAGGTCGGAGGTCGGGGCATTTCTCCTTTCGCCTGTTCCTTGGGGGCCCAGAGAGGGTCCCACGCTGTGCAGGGCTGAGCTGGTGTGGGGCGCGCCCCCAGCCCCGCCCTGACCTGCTGCCCCGCTCCCAGCCTGGCCCCCGACAACGGCTCCGCGCCCTGTGGCAGCTACGAGCAGCTGGAGTACTGGGCCAACAACTTCGACGACTTTGCGGTGAGCCCCGGCCCCTGCGCCCCGGCCCCGGGCCCCACCCGCACAGCCCCCTGGACCGTGTCTGCCGCCCACAGGCCGCCCTGGTCACGCTGTGGGACGTGATGGTGGTGAACAACTGGCAGGTGTTCCTGGACGCCTTCCAGCGCCTCTCGGGCCCGTGAGTGACCATGTCGCTGCAGGGCCCTGCCCACAACTCTCTGCGGGCGTGAGGGAGGAGCAGATGCGGAGGTGACGGGGAGTATGGGCGGGGGCGGGGGCCTGAGCAGCCCCGGGGACAGCCTGGTGCGGGCGCTGTCTCTTGCTGGCTCTGCTGTCCCGGGCACCTCACTGCCTGTCTCCAGGCTTCCACTGGGTCAGCTCTGAAGTGGGGACATTTGGGGTTACCAGGCGGGAGGCGGTGGGGCCGATCACGGGCGCTCCCTGTGTTCCCTGCATGATCTCTCTGGCTCACGGCAGGTCCTGGGCGGGACCCCCCTTGTCCTGCGCAGGTGGTCAAAGGTCTACTTCGTGCTGTGGTGGCTTTTGTCGTCCGTCATCTGGGTCAACCTGTTCCTAGCTCTGATTCTGGAGGTACCGAGACCCCGCCTGTCCTCCGGGGCCTGCCTGGCTGGCACGGTGAGCCGGGCCACCCACAGGTGGCCCTGATCCCAGGCTCGTTCTTCCCTGGGGCTTGGCACAACTCGCCTTGCTGCTGGGAGGGTTTGGCAGTGACCCTGACCTTCGACCTGTGGGTATTCCCAGGCCCCCGGGCTGGGCCCGGAGGGTGGGGAGAGCGGCTCAGGGTCCAGGATTCGCTGTCCCTCCCCTGCACTGGACCCTGGACAGGGTGGGTGGGCATCGAGGCTGCATCCGCAGGGCCCATGCCCACGGGCCTCCTGCCACCCTGTCCACTTCCCAGAACTTCCTTCACAAGTGGGACCGCCGAGGCCACCTGCAGTCCCTCTCCGGGGACCTGGAGGCCACCTCTGAGATAAACACTGTGGACCTCTTGTTCAGGTGTGTGGATGGGAGGGGCTTCTGCTTGGCCCCTGGGGGAGGTGAGGGGGTGCTCAGGGCAGTGGGCATGGCAGGTGGCTTCTGAGAAGGCGACGCTCCCAGCTGTCCTGGCTCCTGGCCTCCCTCAGGGTTGGGGTCAGGGTCAGGTCCATTGTGGCCTCTGCTCCCACCACCCAGGCTGTGAACTCTGTCCTGGTCCCTAGTCGAGCATATGTAAGGGAACCCCCTCCAGGTTCTGTTAGTCTCCAGGTGATTCTGCTGGCGGATGGGGACAGGCGGCCTGAGGAAACCCACCCTGTTTGTCTGGGGAAGCTGGGCCCCCACCCAGTACAGGAAGGTGCGCCGTCCCGGAGACAGCCCGGCTCTGGGCTGCGGGTGTCCCGCGTGGGCGCCTGTGGTCCTGTCACAGCTGTTCTCGGTCCAGCCCCAGCAGCAGCGCACCCCCTGCCCACACCCGAGGAGGTGCCCAAGTCCCGGGTCCCCGGTCCTCGCCACGGCTCCTGCGCACGCCTCTCTGAGGTTCTCCCACCCGGTGACCGGGGACAGGGCTTTCGGCCGCTTCTGCGCACGCGCGCTCCCCTGGGACCCAGAGCCCCGCACACCTTGTCCCCGACTCTGCAGGGAGGACCTGAAGGAGCCGACGGAGGAGGAGCTGGTGGAGAAGCTGAAGCACCATCCCCACCTGCACCTGTGCAGGTGACATCCCGGGTGCGCCTTCCCGACGGGGGCGGCGATGGCGGAGCGGCCTGCAGACGGACACGGGTCTGGGGAGAGGCGGGCCGTGGCCGGAAGGAGAGACTTGCCCTTGGACCAGCCCCTCCGCCCACCTGAGGCTGCCGAGGGGCGTGGCCAGCAGCGTCAGTCTGCAGCGTCTCCCGGATGGCGGTGCTGCGTCCTGCGTCCTCACCGCGCTGCTTTCACTGGTTTAAACAGAGAGGGGGCGAATCCGCGGGGCCAGCGCGGTCATCTGAAAAGTGAGAGGGGGCGGCCTCCCCTTGTGCCCTGCAGTATCCGTGGTGCCTTGGCTGCTGGGAGCCGTCAGGGACTGGGGCCTCGCAGGGCCCGCACAGGCCACCAGCAGCTTCCCCCGGCCATCAGGCCCGGGGTCCTGGTGGTTCCACGTGAAGCTAACCCCGACTGTTTACTGCTGAACGGCTCGTGCGAACATGACCTGTGTGCCTCCTTTTGGGTCAGAGCGCCACCACCAGCCGAGAAGGAGCCCGTCACCCCTTCCTCAGCGCAGCTGCGGTCTGGCGTCTCCTGCGTAGGATGCTGGGGAGGGTGGTTGGGTCGTGGCCACACAAGGTGCGTGCCGGCTCTGGGCGCTCTGCTTCTAATTTACATAAAGACACGGGTAAAGCCAGTGGCAGCCCCATTGTGTGTCCTCAGGGTATGTGGCAGAGGGGGCGGTGCTCGGTGTGTGGAGGGCCACACTGCCACCGGTCAGAGGACAGATGGTTTTCTCAGCGGAGCTGGTGGGCGATGGCCCCTGGAGGCGTCTGCTGGGGCCTGGGGTCTCCACGGGGAGGACCGCTGCGCTGTGTGGGCGCTGCCTGCGTGGCGTCGGCTCGTGTGACCCCACCCTTGGAGCGGGTCGCCTCCCTGTTGTCTGTCTGGGAACGTGTCAGTGAAAGAGCAACTGCTACGGTGCCTGAGCCCCGGTGCTCGGGGCTGTGTAGACCCTGCTGCTGTGTTGTGTCCACGCCTGCTGTCGTCTCCAGTCCTGGAGTGCATCTGAAGTCCCTGGGGTCCGGGGAGTCTCTGGGGGCTGTGAGGACACTCCCAGACCTGCCTCCTCCCCAGGCTGCCTCTCCAGAAAGCAAATGCGGAGTGTCAGGGGGGCGGGGAGGACATGACTGACCGGTAGGTTAGAAGTCCCGGTCCCCGAGGCTTTGCAGGGTCAGGGGTTAGCGCCATCTAGTGGCCAGCTAGGGTTCCGTGGACCTCACTTGGATGCACACTGCACCCTGGGGCTCGCGGGTGGCTCCTGCTTGTCTCTGCCTCAGGGTCTGGGCTGCAGGCGCGTCTGCCCACAGAGAGCCCGGACCCAGTGCGCACTCCCTGGTGAGATGTCCCGTGCATGTGCCGGCGCCGTGGGTCCACCTGCCCTGTGCGTGGCTCACGTGCAGAGAAACCTCCCTTGGGTTTTCTGTCATGAGGCAGCTGGGCGACCCGTCTTGGACTCTGGTTCATGCTGCTTCCAGGTCCCTGCCCTCGGGATGGGCAGCTGAAGCTGGAGGGGTCACTCTGGTGCCTTGTGACCCTGAGTGGGGCTCCCGCAGGTGCTGGGGGTCCCCTCTGTCAGCCTTTGTTCCAATGAGAACTGTGGCTGCACTGTGCCCGGCGCAGTTGCTGGTTCAGGGGGTCGGGGCTGCTTGGGGTGGCCCTGTCTGCAGCGCCCCATGTCCCCGACCACCTGGTGCTCTGTTGCCCCAGGGCCACCACGCCACTCGGGGTGGATGCACTGAGAGGAGTGCTTGCTCTCATCCCAGCCCGTGTGGCTCTGGGGGGTCCCCCGTGGCTGCCGTGGCCGCAGTAGCTCTGGTTGGGCATCGGGGCCGGGGTCAGAGATACCTGGGCCTGGTCGCTGCCCTGGCAGAGGGAGGGTCCCTGTGGCTTTAGGCATGAAGGGCAAACTGGAAAACAGACGGCAGAGAAGAGAAAATACTGATAAACACAACACACTTAACATAAAACTTTCTTTCAAAGACACTGTAGTCAGGCAAGCCCCAACCTGGGCAGATGTGTCTGTATCGGATACGACTGATGAAGGCCTGGTGTCTGGACCGGCTAATGAGCTCCTACAAATTAGCAAGAAAAAGATGAACCAGGAGGAAAAAAATGGGCCTGACCTTGCTTTTCAGAGAGAAACCACAAGTCCTGCAGTTGTGTGATTAGTCGCTCCCTCTCACCAGTCTGCGGCGACCCACAGAGTGAGACCACATCTTGGCCCGTCTCGCTGCGTTGGAGGGTCAGAAGCGAATGAGTGACCCCTCTCGTGGCTGGAACTCTGCAGCGAGCTTGGAGGAGCCGTAGATGGACGTGACTTCCTGGAAAAAGAGTGTGGCTCCGCTCAGGGCAGCTGGGTGGGACGCCCCTCACGGACGCCCCTCATTCTGCTGCGTCCACACCAAGGAGAAGCCCTGGCCCGGGTGTGCCGGGCAGTAGGACGTTCACAGGGCTGTGTGAGCGCCAGCAGAGCGCTGGGCACGGCCCCAACGCCCTCGACAGAGGACGCACGCCTGCCGCGGTGCACCCACACGATGGAGTACTACACAGCGCCGAACACGGGTGAACTCCAGCCTCACAGAACTGCGGGAAGGGATTCTAGAAACGCAATGTTGAGTGAACAGAGCAGGTTCCGGGAGATTCCACACAGCAAAGCAGCGCGTGTGTTAAACTCAAAACTGGCGTCAATCTGCCTGGTGGGCCGCACGCACACAGGCAGTGGGCTGCGAGAGCCTGTTGTCCCTCAGCAGAATCACCTCCCGGGAGACGGGGACAGTGTGGGCAGGACCCAGGGGCGAGGTGGAGTGCACACCTGCCGGGTGGTCTGCTCATTCTCGGGCCTCGTGGGGCGAGCGGTTACCACATTAAGGACTCTGTCACGTAGATGATACACGGTACGCACGTGGCCAAATTGTAAGAGGAGTGGAAGACAAGGGGTTTGGGCGGCTCCTCCAAGGGACTTTCCTGCGGAGGGGAGGGGCAGATGGGGGTGGAGTTGGAGGGGACAGAGGCCAGGAGAGTGTGATTCCTGCCTGGGGCTGTGTAGGTGGCTGGGCCGACCCAGCCTGCAGCGGGCATGCAGGGGGGTGGGTGTGAGGGGCTGGGCGGGCGGCTGCACCTGCTTCCTGCCAGCCCCACACCTGGCATCATCCCGGGAGAGGCAGGCCCATCGAGGTCCTCGCCTGGCTCCTGCCACATGCCCTCCACGACCTGGCAGCTGAACAGGGGCCAGGTCCCGGGCCCAATCTGCCGCTGAACCTCAGAGCGGAGTCCCAGCGAGCAGGTTGGGGCCTTTCATGTGGTCTCCTCCGCTGGGCACAGTGGGCGGGGGGATCTTGTCTTTCACCAAAGCAGCCAGGGTTTGGTTTCCTACCTTGGAGATAATTGTTGGTTCTTATTAAAAGGTTAGAACAATTGCCTGCTTAAAAGGAAGGATGGAAGGCAGGCACACCACACTGCTCTTAAAAATCACAGAAGGGGCGTGGGGCGCGCGGCACCCCTCACATCAAAGTGGCCGGCAGACGCTGCGGCAGCGGCGTCACCAGCCCTCTGACCGCCGTGGGGGCTGAACCATTCTTCTGGTAACACAATCGGAGCCGCGCCAAGGCGGCGGGCCCACACCTGCAGGGCCAGGCCGTCCACTGCCGCCGGAGACCCACAGCAGTTGGCTAATCTGCTTTGGGACCCCGGCAGCACCTGTCGGCAGGTGAGCCGGACCTGCCTTAGCCATTCCGGGCCTTTACTTTTGCTCACAGACTTGGGGGCGGACAGGAGCTGCCCATGCCAGAATCCGAGCAAGAGGACTGTTTCCCAGTCCCCTGCACTGGGCCAGCGGCCGGCGGGGTCGGGGGCGAAGCCCCAACAAGGGCGCAGCCCAGGCAGATGTGGGGCTCTGGCCTCTGAGGGGCCGGCTGCCTCCCCCAGCTACGTGATTCCATGTTCTTGCCGCCCCGCCTCGGTGCACCCTGCGCTGCTGTGGGGTGTCCCCATCCCCTCCTCAGCTCCTGGGCCTGGCAGTGCTGGGGTGTAGCCAGTGCCCGCAGTGTCTGTGTGGAAACTGAGGACAGGTGTGGGGCATCAGAGTCGAGCACCCGCTCGTATGGGGCTACTGAGTGGGGCACAGAGGGCGGGCAGGACGAAGGGGGCAAAGGCTGGGCCCCGAGGGGCGGGAGGAAGCAGCCCGTGGGCCCACTGCTCCCACGGGCTGGCTCGAGCTTCCCGGTGGCCTCGGTGGAGGAGGCAGGGGATGCTTGTTGGGGTGCTGTGTCCCACGCCAGCCCCTGGGAGGCCTGGCAGGCTTCCTGGTGGAGGCATACTGGGCGGGGCTTGGCCTGGGTGAGGAGCCACCTGGCCAGGGTTGACCCTCAGCCCCGGGCTGGGACACATCTCCCGAGAAGCGGACTGGGAGTCCCCTCAGCCTCGATTACGTCACCGCCTGCGCTGAAGGTCCCCGTGAACCGATGGGCGTGAGGACACCTGTCAGCGTGCGGAGCGGTGACTGCACAAGCTGTCGGTGTTCGGTTCCCTGTGAGGGCGACGACCAGTGATAACAAGCGCCGTGTTTTGGGGGCCAGCTCTGGCTGCATGGGGCACCACCTCGCCCCGCTCTTGACCCAGCCTCTCCTCTCTGGTGTCACTCGACCATGGGACAGCGGCTCCACCGCGTGGGTCTGACCCTCCCTGCACACGGGAAGGTCGTCGAGGTCGTTTGAGAAGGAGGGCGGTGGCTGGCTGGAAGACTGTAGCCCGGGAAGCTGGTGTGCCAGCCCCTGCCTCCCCTGCTTCGGGCACACAGTGCAGTCAGGGAGCTCCCCGAAGGGGGGCCCCGCTCCTGGGACCTGTCCCTGGGGCTGGGCCCCTTCTCTGCTGGGAGTCAGAGGGGTGGAAGTGACTTCATGGGGTTTTGGGGTCCTGAAGGGGTCAAGGCAAGTTAAAGCACCTGTGTGGTGCCATAGGGTGGTAGGAGAGTCAGGGGCTCCTGACGAGCGTCCCGGTGATGCCGACGGCCCCGTGTGCCACCACGGTCCTCACCTGGCACCTGACAGGCAGTGCGGGGGGGGGGGGGCGAGCCGGACCCTCTCCCTATGGGGAGCACCCCTCCC